GCGTGTGTGGCGTGGGACCTGTCCGCGGGGCGGCGGGGCCTGCTTCGGTACTTGAATGCGAGGGCTCGACGAAACGCAGGGCCGTCAGTACTTGCATTCCGAGATTCTAAGCGCCTTTGCCTCGCCGCGCGATCGAGACACGAGCCACGACAGGAGCCATTCGTGGTGATTTAACAACGGTACGTCGGCTTGTAGGGACACACCTGAATAGTCGTCGCTCGTAATGTTTCGGGAAACTACTGAGTTAAACGTAAGCACAGCAAGGAATCGCGCCACCTAGTTACTCACGATGCAGCACTCGCCGCCACAGAAGATGTCACGTGGTTGACACGTGTCCGTTCCCGTGTAGCGACACACGCCCGTGCCTTCCTCGCATCGCTTCGTGCCTCGCTCGACGCGCAGCTCTCGGCGGCTGAATTGGAGCAGTCCATCCGAAGCAGCGCTTTCTGAAACCGAGCCGTTGAATTGTCGATGGCTCGTAGCAGCATCTTCGTTTACCGCTGCATGGGCGATCGATAATCGCACCGCGACGCAGATGACGAGGACCCAGCACGCCGACAGCCTCATAATAACGATCACAGAACGCGTTCAAAGGAAGTTTGAACGGTCGATGGATTGAAACAATATTAACTGTTAAATCTCGACAATCAAGGCTTGTAGAGACTACGATCCGCGCTCTTTACGTATCCGTGGCTGAAGAAAAGAATGAGCGATGGATCGATGGAGATGCCCGAAGGGAGAGGTTGCGCAGCCATGTTGACACACGTGTGGCAGAAGTGAGGTACGGGAGAGGGCACCATAGCTGCAAGGAACAGGGATGTCGAGTTTTTGTTCTGTTGCACTCTCGCCCCCCCCCCCTCCCTCGACTGCATTCCCAGCTCATTGAATTTTGCAGAATTCGAGTGCTGGTTGCAACGCTCGCATGTGAACCGAGCCGCATCCCGCGTCAATTTGGGGTTGGAGATTGAATAGAGGGGGTGCGAGATCGCGGCTCCAACGCTCTGCTCCCTCGCACCGCTTGGCTTCTGGCAATCTCTGTTGGTGTGAACCGGCGGTGACGCAGCGCGCTGCCAGCATGTCCGCATGTGAGCGTGCCCCTCACGCTCGCGGGCCAGCTGGATGGGCAGGAAGCATGATCGGGGTTTCAAGGAAACCACTTGGAAAGCTGATATCTTCGTTATTGACATGTACTGCTACAAATCCGTCATGTTATCGCCCATACTTTAAAACTGCATGCTTCCATTCTCATCCTTATGTTGGTCATTTGCATGCCGTTCCAGCAGTGAACTTTGGACAAAAGCGTGCAACTATAAGATAGTTAATAAGCTATACAGAGCCTGTAAAACTACTACAGAAAGATACAATCTGAACAAAAACCACATCCCATTATAGCCTTCCCCTAGCAACACTTTTTACCGCATGCTGTCTTTCCAATGGGACAGCAACCCCACTGGCCATGCTTATTTTGGTAGCATCCTCCTTTCTTGCAGCACATAATCCCTCCGCAGCAAGGGTACTCCGCAGAATCCTGCACCACACAAGAGGCGTATATACAGAATAATTATACTCGCACTCAAAGTAAAGCCGGAGACTGATTCGGCAGAGAGCGACCTTTTAGGACTGAAAAGTCTTACCGTGCAGCAGGCGCCACCGCAGAAGACATCGGGAACGCTGCAGCCAGCGACGCCAGAGTATGGGCAAATTCCCGATCCCCCACCGCACCCCTGCTGAACTTTGATTTTCTTCAACTCCCGCCTGTGCGCTTGAACCTCTCGCGACGACGCCTCCACGACGATTGCACTCGCCCCAAGCGGTGCTGTTTCAGCGCCTTTGCTGCTGTCAGCCGCGTGAACGAGGCAAAGCCCGACTGTGGCGACGAATAAAAAGAAAGCGGCGCGAACGACGGGTCCCATCTTCCGGGCCTTCTGAAGTCTTGGTCTTCAAGCTACGAACAAATATTTCAACTTGGAACTGTGCTGAGATGAGCTGACTCCCGATTCGGATTGGGATTGATGCTGAGAGCAGACTATGATTTGAAAACGCAATAAGAGGCAACCATCAGAGCACCGATGTGGGCGACGTCTGCTGATCGAGCTGGGTTCTTCGGTCGCCATTTCCACCGACTACAACTGTCAAACACTAACTACGACGTCGCGGAGAGCAGATCTGAAGAGGTGACGCTCGACGGTGAGCAATAATTGTGGGATTCTGGGAAGCAGCATCTCGAACCAAACTGGGCGTTGGCTGGTCCAACTCGATTCAACGCTGACTGTGCTTGCCCACGGATTTCCCGACCCGAGGCTGCTGGTAGTGCGCTGGAAGCTTGGTGCGGTGCCCGTGCCGAAGCTGGCGTTGTGGTGAAGTGAAGTGTCGCTCGCACGCGTCCGCGTCAGCGCGCGAACAGGTGGTGGTCGGTTACAGGTTGGGGTTGGGGTGGGATCACACGCTGGATGGGAGGAGGAAAGCCGCAGGTGGGACGTTCAACCACGCTATTGCATGCGGACGACACGGACGAGTTCCGTTTCGTCCGACCGACTGACTGTTGAACGCCGCAGGAACAACCCAGTCGACGCATTTCATCCTGTCGGTCAGCCGATGGCTGTTGCGAGATGTGTTGAAACGAACAATTCACGCCACGGCGCAAAGAAAAATACCTCTCTGTAAGCACTCCCGTAGAGTTCTATGGTTCAGTAACCATGTACATTGTGTGTGCTACTTCTTTCACAAAAAACTGTTACAAAGACCTATACATAGGACCTATGCTTTGTTAGGTCTCGTGGTATTCCCCAACTTTTTTTCTTTCTGATTATTTCCTCTACTTTCCTCTCACTTTCCTGTTTTCCTCTTTCGTTTCCTTTTCCCTTCGTCCCGTGTCTCTTCTTCTCCCCCGTTATAGCAGTCACGTCGATTATATATATTTTTTAATCTAATTTCATTCTATTCAATGGCACTTGTGGTATGTCATGAAAACCTTTCCAAGTGGATGTTGACAAACGTCAAATTTACATTGTTTAAGCAATTTGAAAAGTCATCTGTATACACCCAGTCAAGATTCATACTTATATCTGTACATGATATAAGCGAACCTCACATCCAGAGTGGGCAGCCATACACAAATCTGGTGTGGTCCCCGATGCGTGAAAAGTGAATCAGATGGAATGCTAGGAGCCATTCGAATAATCGAAGGTGGAAACGTGTGGCTGCAGTCAACGAATGTTACTGTAGTTCGACGGCCATTCCCACAAACGAGTGGTGTGAATCTGGCGGCGAGCTTTTCCGTGAGATTGTAGCCGCAAATGTGGCTGGAGCATGCGCTGGACGTGTCAACAACGACGCAAAAGATGCGCAAAGTGGATAAGGTCTCGGTTTGATGACAGAAGATTTGCATTTGGGCTAGGGTTTCAGTTCTCAGTTGGAAATTGATTGCTTTTGGGCAGTTTTGTAAGACACACAAGAGAGAGAAGCTCCTGGACAAAGACGAAATTTTGGTCTGTTGGCAGCGACATGATGCGGGCATCATTGTTGCAACAGGCAGATGCTGCCGTTGGCTCAAAACGAGCCAGCCAGTCCCTTCCATCCTCCACCGCACCAAAGGCTAGGAAACTCCGAGACAAACGACCGAGGAGCTCAGTGGGAAGTACCGAAGGCCGAGGCTGGTCAGGAGGTTTGGCCTTTGGCGACAGGCAGCCCGGTCAGTTCGCTCGTTGACCGGACCGGATAACAAATCTTACAACAGTGCTGCCTGCCTGCCTGCCTACCTCATCTCCACCACGTAACTGCAGCAAATTCGTCCCTTCTCCCAAACCCCCTATTTCCCCTCCACTTTTCGCTCCTTCTCATCCCCCCCTTTTCCCCCGAGTTTCCCCCCCTGACAGCTCCGACACTCAAATCAGCAAAAGTCACCTCACCACCACAAGCGGATGGGGAAGGTTTGTGGAAGGAAATTCCCGCGCTGCCCTGCTTCTGCCCGGAGAAGTCAGGATGAGATGCAAGGTTGTGAGACAAGTGGCGCGCGCGCAACAGGCATGCACAGCACACCACCACCACATTTTCTCCTCCGCCGCACCTTCACCAGGGCTGACGATTCAAGGGCAAATGCCCTTAATGCCCTGAACATTAAGGGTTGGGTTCAGCCCAGATTCCGAATTTTCAGGTTGGCTTTGAGGGCAGCCCTTTCCCGCAAAGTGCTGGTTGTGGGCCTAACCCGGATTTCAAGCGCAGATCCGCGGCTAGCCCTTATCTTCCCTTACTAATACCTCCCTCCCTCCCATTCGCTCACCAGTCCCCCCACCTCCTCCCAGCCACTCCCCTTTCTCCTTTTCCCATCCCCATCAAATCCATCGACATGTTTCGTACCTCAGACACTTGCCTAGCTGGATCTTAGTAGTTGCCTAGGATACGGACCCGAAGCGATGTAGGTTTTCCTTAGCAAAAGTGCAGAAAAGTTGGTAGCCCTGATTTCAAGTGCCAGGTTGGCTCTCAGCCCGTAAATTTCAGGGCAACTTTTGGGGCACCTCAGCCTCTCAAGTTCTGGGTCCAAACCAATCGACAGCCCTGACCTTCACTCGAAGCCCGGGGAAGGGAAGTGAGGTGAGGGGAGGGCAGCAAGGCGAAGAAAGGGAAGCAAGCAAGGTCGAGGGGAATGGTTGTACAGTGTTCACTTGGCTAGCAGTTTCAAATGCAGAGCATTTGCTGTCAGGACTCAGAAGGAAGTGGGGCTTTGGTTCATGCTTGAGGACAGATAAACCTAGGATGACTAGAGCTCGTCAGCGTGCTATGCGTCTACATCCATTATACGGGACCGAGCCTCGATTCGAGTAGTTTCCGTCTGTAGGGATTTCTTTAGCTGTTCGTCGATTTGAAGATAATCGCGAGATTAGCTTGTTCGTTCAGCTTGGAAGTTATTAGTTCGCTTTTGTATCCAAAATACAATCGATTACTCTTCCGTACTCGGGAGCCTAAATAGGATGGCGGGACGCGAGAGCGACGCGATACCATCGATGGCAGAGGATTTTCCATCGCTGAAGGCCAAGTGGGTGGTGATGCAGCACGCCAAGAAACCCGCTACCATCTTCGACGACCTCGCCTTTGTGTGAGCCCCCATGATAGCTTTGATCCTCGTTATCAACTTGTATTGTGCGGTGACGGCTCACGATCCTCGGACATTTCATCATGCGTTTGCTGCACCTCTTCCGCCGATCTTCCCCTTGTCATCCCGTGACATTTCCGCTCATCTAATAAAAACTGCGCATATTCTATATTTTTGTTAATATATTCATCCTGTAAGATCGTCTTACAGGATCATTATTAATAATATGATCATTATTGTTTAAGATCGTCTTATTTTCTTCCTGTCTCTCTCCAGCCCCGAGCACGACCTACTGGATTCCTCGTGGATCGACAACGCGCACGACCTTCCGAGCAAGGCCGCGAGCAGGCAGGGCAAGCCGGCGTGGCAGGTGCATCTCAAGCCCCCCGTGCCCTCCTCCACCGACGTCGCCCCCTCGTCTCTCCGCAATTCCCCCCTTCCCCGTGACGCCAATCTCGAGGGCCTCCTCGCCGCGCAGCTCCCGCCACCGGGCGGTGCGGGGGGGAGCGCAGCCGGGAACGCGGCGGCACTGCGCGAAGAAGAGATGGAGGCGTGGTTTCAGTACCCGCTGGGCGAGCCCATCGACAGTTTCGGGCGGTTGAGAGCGGTGGAGGGGCTTAGTGTCGACGACGGCGGACAGGGGTTGGAGAACTGGCGCGCAGATGAGATCTCCGCCGTGCAGGCCGGAGTCGGCGCAGACATGGGCGCACATGCCGCGGCGCTTTGCGGAAACTTGCAGGCGCAGATGCGCGCCGAGCCGGTTGGCGCTTCCGCGACTGAGATGGGAGGCAGAGGCGCGGGCGGACTGAACAGCATGGTAGCGGCGTCTCTATTGGCGCAGAAGCGGGGCTTTGGCGGACTCGGCGGAGCGGAAGCCGGCGGGGGTGGTGCGGGGGAGAGAGGGGAGCGCGAGGCGCAGCTGTTGAACCACCTGCGGCTCCAGCAGTTGCAGCAGCAACAGCACGTGGCGCAGGTGCGCGCGAGTCGGCAGCAGCAGCTGCAAGGGCTGCAGCAGCAGGAGACGGACGAGGAGGCGGGGCTACAGCAGCAGCTGCTGTTGCTGGAACAGCAGCGACTGAGGCAGCAGCACCAGATGAAGCTGCGGCAGATATGGCAGCAGCAGCAGCAGCAAGGCGACGAGGCAGCGTTGGCGGAAGCGGCCCAGGCGGAAGGGTTGAAGAGCCAGCAGCAGTCGCACCAACCGCCGCAGCAGCAATCGCACCAGCAGCAGCAGCAGCATCCGTCGCAGCAGCAGCAGCAAGTTTCGCGTTTCCCCATCCCCGCGCCTGTCTCCTCTCCGCCACTCAACTTCTCCCACTTCTCCCGCCCCGCCGCTCTTTACGGACGCGCCAGCGCCAAGCCCATGGGCGCCACCTCCGCCACCCCTGCGGTCTCCGCCGCCCCCGCCGGTGCTGTAGGCGTCTCGTCAAGTGCGGCGCCTCAACCTGGCGGCAGCGCCGGCATCGCGGGTGTGAGCGCGCGCCTGGCGAGTAAGGCCCTGGCGGCTCTTAAATCTGGCAAGCTCGCGTCGAGTCCCGCGTCGTCCGCTGGCGATTCCAACGCGCTCGCCGCCGCTCCCACCGAGGGGATTCGCGATGCAGCGGTCGGCACGACGGCAACTGCGGCGGCCGGCACGGCGTCAGGAGCGGCGGGCGCGTCGGCACCGGGTGTGTCGAAACCTCCCGCCTCGCGTAGCAACGTGCCGCGCCAGGCCAGCGAGTCCAACGCCAGTGCCGCAGCGATTGCCGGCGCGTCTCACGGCGCGGTGACTGGGAACTGCGGACCAAACGCTTCGCAAAGTGCGGCGAGCCGGCCCTTGCCGTACGCCCCTTTAAACGTGTCGCGCCAGCAGCAGCAGCAGCGGCAGCGGCAGTTGCATGCCGACGCGCGGCAACCCGATCAACCGCAGGAGCCGGCGGGGACTACGGCGGAGCGGTCGCCCGACGCGGGGCACGCGTCGACGGTTACGAGCAACGCGCCCGCGGGATGCGGCGCGAACGGCGCGCACAAAGCGGAAAGGGCCGCGACTGGCAGCTCCGGAATGGTGAGGCGCGCGGAGGAGGGCAGCGGAGGCGGCAGTGGGGGGGCCAGCGGTGGGGAAGGAAGCGCGGGCGGGGGCACCGAGCGGACAGGGCAGGCGGAGCGGCCTGCGCGCACCGCCAGCATGGGCGGAACGAAGGATTCGTGGCTGCCCGGAGCGAGCCGCGGAGGGGCGCGCGGAGGACGGAAGCGGGGGAGGGAGGAAGGGGAGTACGCGCGGACAGAGGACTTGCCCGAGGAGAGTCTGGATACGCGCAGAACGGGCGCGACTGGCGCAACGGGCGCGACGAGCGGGGCGGGACGGAGAAGCGGCATGGAGGGCAGCGCGGCGAAACGTGCGCGCGCCGCTGAAGTGCACAACATGTCGGAGCGGGTGAGTGGCGGCGAGATGAGGGCGCGGGGAGAATGCGGTGACAACGGGCAGGAGGTGGGGGGGAATGTGTATGGGAACACGGAGGGGGAGAGGGGGGATGTGGGGGGGAGGATTGGGGAGCGGAAACGATTGGGGTGGTCTTTTAAGGCGCATGGCGTGCATTCGCCTCTGCTCCTGTGCTCCCGCGCTCCCGCGCTCATGTGCGCCTATCTGCATGCCTCTTGCCCCCGTCCATTCCCAGGCCCCGCCTCGTCAATTCCGCCGTCTCAACTGTTACCGTTTCTGCTGTTCCCCCGTCTCCCCCCGCGCGTGCGTGTGCCCCCTCCCCCTCCCCCCCCCCAACCCCCACCCCGGCGCGCAGAGGCGGCGGGATCGCATCAACGAGCGCATGAAGGCGCTGCAGCAGCTGATTCCCAACTCTAACAAGGTGCGCTTCCGCTCCCCGCCCCTCGCCCGCTTCCCACTCCCCTCTCCGCGCCCCTCCCTCGCCCCTCGCTCTTCGCCCGCCGCGCCTCCCCACCTCTTCCCACCCCTCCCCCTCCCCATTCCCCCCGCTTCCCCGTGTTCACGATACTCCGCCGATTCCGTGTGTCAAGCCAGTGTTGGGCGCGCTCCCCCATCCACTGTGTTCCTCTATCTCACCGCCACTCTCCTCCCCCGCGTGTTTCCTGCATTCACATCCCTCCTGACCAAAACTTCTCTCGCCTCCCCTCTTCCCCCTCCACACAGACGGACAAGGCATCAATGCTAGACGAGGCGATAGAGTACCTGCGCGTGCTGCAGCTCACTCATTCTCTCCCCTTTCCCTCTCCCCCCTCTCTTCTCCCCCTCTCCCCCCTCTCTTCTCCCCCCCGCCCCTCCGCTCCCCACTTCCAGACGGACAAGGCATCAATGCTAGATGAGGCGATAGAGTACCTGCGCGTGCTGCAGCTCATTCCCTCCTCTCGCTCTCTCCTCATTCCATCCTTCCTGCCCTGCTCCTTCCCCCGTCTCCCACCCACCCCTCTTCAGACGGACAAGGCGTCGATGCTGGACGAGGCCATAGAGTACCTGCGCATGCTGCAGCTGCAGCTGCACGTCATGTCCGCGCGCACAGGCATCGCGCTCCCCCCCGCGCTCGCGCTCCCCCACCCCACCTCCCTCTCCGCCCTCCCGTCCGGCACCCCCTCCGCGGACCAGCTCCCCGCCCCTGGCGCGGCTCTGGGGGGATTCGGGCTCGGGGGAATGGGAATGGGGGGGATGGATTTGGGCGATATGGGCCTGGGGATGGGGGGAATGGGGGGCATGGGCGGAATGGGCGCAATGGGCGGACTAGGGGGATTGGGGCTCGGCATGGGGGGGCTGGGGCTGGGAGGCATGGGAGGTCTGGGTATGGGCATGGGCGCAGGCATGGGCGCAGGCATGGGCGCAGGCATGGGCATGGGTCTATCGGACTTCTCGTCGCTACCAGCAGCACAGCAGGAGATGGGGTTGATGATGGAAATGGCTGCTGCAGGGGCCGCAGGGCGAGCCGCCGACGCTGCTGCTGCAGCAGAAGCGGCAGCGGCAGCAGATGAAGCAGGTGCGATGCAGAGGCAGCGGGTGCAGCAGCAGCAGCAGCGGCTGATGGCTCAGCTGCAGGCGCAGCAGCAGCAGCGCGAGCTGCAGCGGGAGCAGCTGCAGCAGTTGCAGCACGAAGCCCAGCAGGTGCAGCAGCAGCAGCAGCAGCAGCAGCGGGAGAGGGCAGCGCTGGGAGTGGGCATGCAGGGCGAGGAGGCTCTAAATGGGCTTAGTGGGGGCGGCGGTGGTGGTGATGGCGGGTGTGGGGCGATGGGCGGTATGGGCGTGGCAGCGGGGGGTGCAGAAAGGGGGGAGGGCGGGCGGCAGGTGCGGGCGGCAGGGGTGGACCCTATGGAAGCGTACCTGGCACGGCACCAGCGCATGCAGCAGCAGCACCAGCACCAGCAACACATGCAGCAACAGCACATGCAGCAGCAGCAGCAGGTCAGCACATCGCACAATGCCTCTCCGCTGTTCTCGTCGCCTCTCCCTTTCCTTCTCCCCCATTCCCCTCTCCCATATCCCCGCTCCCCTCGCTTCCTTCCCCTCTCCTCCTCGTTTCTCTCCTGAAAGCTCTCTTGTCCTTCGGGCCCTTCTTCTTTCCACTCCCCTATGCCCCTCTTGCATGCACTGGTCTCCCTTCTCTCTGCTCCTCTCCCACCACCCTCAACGCCATATCAATTGCACTCATGCTCTTCTTTTAATCCCTTTCCTTTCCTCTTCTCTTTGCAGCCTCTCAACCTGGAGATGTACCATGCCTTCCTGCAGCAGCAGCAGCAACAGCAATAATTGCATCTCTGTGATACTAACAGTAGCAGCTACTAATGCATGGCCGCAAGGCGCCTGGATCCTCTCTTGCTCAATGTGGCAAAAGTCCAATTATTTAGCTGCGTAACATGCGCAAGTGTTTGTAGGAGAAAGGAACGAGTTGTGTACATATAGCATGAGTCTTGTCCTTCTGACATCCTGTAATGTTATTTCTATCATAATATTAGAAGTTTAATAAATATGGTGCATACCGAATCCTACTGCAGGTGACTGTATTTCACGATTTCGCTTCATTCCTGCGCGGACGGAGGTGGCTGCTAGCCGTCGGGCTTGTGCGCGGGGAAGATGAACCAACTGCTGCGGAGTCCGATTCCGAACTGTCGCCGTCAAGCGCAGGGGGATAGAGCGGAACGTTACTTGGCGGGGGAGGGTGATGTAACAGGCGAAGCTGCGAATATGGGAAAAGGTAACATTCATCGCCCATCGACGGCATTCCAGTGATCCGTACAACCCACCAGCTTTCGCGAAACGACAGGTTGTCGGCGCCTGGACCTGAAATGACCCGCTAAGGCAACGCGTCCTTTTGATGATGCCAGCTCTGTTGGTCAGTTAGTTACAGTCTGCCTCATAGAAAGCTAACCCGATTGACTTTTCTCTTACCACTTATGCACACACCTGCTCCCTGCCCTCCGCCACACTCTTAGCTTTAGCCCGCGCGCACCGCTCGGGCCTTGCTTACAGCCCAACAATAACGCCTTTCCTCCGACCTCCTCCCCACGCACCTCGCATCACGAACTCGAGCCGCCTGTGTTTTTTACGACTTGTTCCCTCCGCTAGCTGCCCGGAGAACTGGGAAGGGAAGCCAGAGAAGGAAGCGATCGATTCTCGTTTCTCCGCCGGCTTTTGCGCCCAAACGCTCCTGTTCACCGCCGCGCAAAACTTGCGCCATTCGCGCACCCCGCTGCGCGGCGATGGAAATACAGCTCGCGGTGGCAGCAGTGCGCGCGCTCGAGGCGGCGCTCAAGCGGAAGCTTGAGGGGGAGGCGGTCGGGGACTTCAACGTCGACGCTGCGGCGGAAGCTTCTGCGCTCCTGAAGCGCGCGCGCGGCAACTCCGAGGGAGGCGCGGCCACGCAGAGCGGTAGACCCGAGGCTGGCGCAGCAGGTCGCACCGACGGTTTTGCCGATCGCGGGGATGCTAATAACGCGGACGCTCATCGCTCAGAAAGTTCCAAGAGACCAGCGGTGGGCGGCAGCCGGCCGGCCGCGCGAGGCGGCGCCGATGACGTCATGCCGACGCGATCTGAGCTGGAGGCGATTTGGCAGTTAGTGCACTCGGGGTACTTCGCGGGCGGCGGGGAGGGGGAGCTGCGCGAGGGGCAGGGTGCGCACGAAGCGGCGGATTTAGCGGGCGCTTCCGGGAGCAGAGGGGAAGGGTCTTTGCCACGTGCCGTGGGAACGTCTGAGGTGGCAGCGCGAGAGGGAAGGGCGATTCGGAAGGCGTGGGAGGAGTCTCTTTCCGCGCAAGGCGGAGGCGCGGGAGAGCGGGGTGGAAGGGGGGATGACTTTGCGGGCGGCGGGGTCCAGCAGTCGTCGAAGAAAGGGCAGAACCTGGGCCCCCAGGCCATGGCCGCGCGGGTGAGCGCTCGGGGGAAAGGCGCAAGGAGGGGCGGTTGAAGGGGGGGAGGAGGGGGAGAGTGATGCGCGGCAGCGCGGGGTAATGGGTGGATGTGGGGTGGCGGATATAGGGAAGCGGAAACCTATCGGTGTAGGGTGGATGCCTTGCGTCGCCCAGTGTCGTGAGTGAGACAAGACAGACGGGCAAGAGAGATTCTTATGAGTGCCTTCCCTCCCTGTCTTCCCACCCCGCCCCCCTGCACACAAACTGTCACCATTCAGCCAATCTCCCCCCACACACTCTTTACCCCATCCCCCTCGCACGCATCGGGGTGCCGCACCCGCGCGCCCCTCCTCTTCTTCTCTCCCTTCTCTCTCACCCTCCCCCTTTCAGATGCGGTGGGAGCGGGTGAACGCACGCATGAGGGTGCTGCAGGGGCTGGTGCCGGGGGCGGCAACGATGACAACAGAGAGCTTCCTGCTCCTCGCTGTCAACCCCCCTCCTCCCCCCGTCCCCCTTCCCCCCGCGCTCCTCCACCCCCCCTTCCCTCACCTCCGCAGATGCGGCGGGAGCGAGTGAACGCGCGCATGAGGGTGCTGCAGGGGCTGGTGCCGGGCGCAGCCACGATGACGACCGAGAGCTTCCTGCTCCTCTCTCTCACCGCCCCCCCCCCCCCCCCCTTCTTCCCCCCCTTCCTCCCCGCACTTCCCCCCCCCCCCCAACCCCTCAGATGCGGCGGGAGCGAGTCAATGCGCGCATGAGGGTGCTGCAGGGGCTGGTGCCGGGGGCGGCAACGATGACAACGGAGAGCTTCCTGCTGGAGGCAGTTCACTACGTGCGCTTCCTGCTGCAGCAGGTCATGGTGCGTTCACTGCTGCTGTGTTCCACTTCCACCCGCCCCCTCCCGGTGCGTCTCCTGCTGGTGTGTGGCGTTGTAACCAAGGCTGTGTGGCATTGAGTCGACTCCCCTTCCTGCTGGAGGCAGTTCACTCCGTGCGCTTCCTGCTGCAGCAGGTCATGGTGCGTTCACTGCTGCTCCGCTCCCTCCCGGTGTGTCCCCTGCTGCTCTCCTCTCCTCTCCCCCCCCCCACACGGGTGCGTGTTGCTCTGCCCCCCACTCCCCCCTGGTGCGTTCCCTGCTGCTCCCTCCTTCCTTTCCTGCCGCCCTTTCTCTTCTGCGCTCCTCCACACCCCCCTTTCTCCTTATTCCCCTTTTCCCCACCCCCTTCTCTCCTTATCCCCCCACTCCTCACCCCACCCCTCTCCCCCGCTGCTCGCCCTCCGCCTTTGCAGGAGCTATCAGAGCTTTATACCCCTCAGAACCGCAACAGGGAGGAGGGGGAGGGGGAGAGTGGCGAGGGGCAGAGCCGAGCGGGGGAGGGGGCTGGGTGCAGTGTTGAAGGGGGCGCTGGAGGGAAGGGTGACGTGGACAGCGAGTTGAGGCGGGAAGGGCTGCGATTGGTGCGCGTGGATCGGCTGTTGCCGATAGTGGGGGTGGGTGGGCTGCTGGATTGTATTCTGGTGAAGCAGCAGCAGCGGGAGGAGCAGCGGCAGGAGGACGAGGGGAGGAATGAGGAGAGGGAGGAGGGGGAAGAAGGGATGGGAGGCGAGGAGGGAGAGGATGGGGAGGAGCAGGAGGGGGACATGTTGAGAGAGGGATCAAACTCACCCCTGTCGGAAGGATGATTGGGGGTGAGGGGGGGGAGGGGGGGGGGGGGAAGGGGAGAGGGAGCGGGGTTGTTCATTATTGTCCACCTCGTTATGGTGATGAATATAGATCAGAATAACAGGCGAATAACTGCGGCTGGAGGGAAAAGAATTGCCAAGCAAACAGGTTCGGGTTCCATCGCAGAGCTTGGTTTATATTGGATCGGACACATGTCTGGGGGTTTTAGCAGATATGGTATGTCACTTTTAAACCTACCTACTTGTTGCGAAGTAGTGCCATGTTGGCAATGGTTCACCTGGAAGAGTCGAGGAAACCTTTGTATCGAGGATTTCTAGAAGAATGGTCTCCCAGATCCGTTCCTGCAACAGCTGATTCGCCCTCTGCTGATTTCGATTGGCTGCTTCGAGACTTGTGTGAGTTGAGACCCGATTTCTGCACAGCCTGACTTGCTGACCACCTCGCACGCTTCTTCGAGATTAATTCCTCCTCGTAGCGACGACGCGTTGGTCCTCTCAATCAGCCTTCGCGAATCGCAATAGCCTGCGTTGTTCTCGCCGTCCTTCGCGGTTGATATCTCTCGCCCATGGCTGCCGTCGCCGCATCGCTCGCGCCCCTCGCGTCCTGCGCCGTTCCGTCGCGGTGCAGCCTGAGGCAGGGCAGCTCGGCGCGCTCTGCTGAAGCAAAGGCACTGGTCCACGTGTCGCACATCAACAGGCTCAGGTGCAGCTGGTTGGGCGAAGAGCGAGTTTGAGTTCGCGTCGCGTTGTTCTCTCCATCATAGCTGACTAGCAAACGGGTCGCGCGGCTATTGCGGCCAATAGCCGTCGAATGTGTTTCGGAAACGCTTTCCTATATTGCCTTGTTCAACGCATCCCATCGCGTAAAGCAGCCTTCACGTTCCCCCTCTCTGCGTACCCTCCGTCGTCGTGGCAGGGTGTCGCACGCGATCAGTCGGTCGCAGAGCCAGTCTCGTCGCACATGTAAGTCAACAGCCGCATGGCAGTGTGTGTCGCATGTGTCGCATGGCAGTGTGTGTCGCATGTGTCGCATGGCCGTGGGCCGCCGCACGTCTGTTGTGAGTATATTCTTCTCCGCGCTGCGTGCTGGAGTATGCGGCAGCGGCGCAGCGCATCTGTCGTTCTCGCTCGCTCTCGTAGCCTGTGGGTGCGCGGCGCAGCTCCATGGCCCGTGGGTGTGTGTGGATGACGGTGTTTCCGCGCAGCGCTGGGTGGGTGTTGCACGGCAGCAGTGCTCTGTCTTCATCCCTCCCTGCGCTCACCCATGCACTGTCCCTCCATTGCTCCTTTCATCCCTCGCCGCCCTTCGTGCCCCCTCCATGCCCCCTCCTTTAACACTCCCCCCATGCCCCCCTCCTTTAACGCTCCCTCCATGCCCCCTCCTCTAACGCTCCCCCCATGCCCCCTCCTCTAACACTCCCCCCATGCCCCCTCCTTTAACACTCCCCCCATGCCCCCTCCTCTAACACTCCCTCCATGCCCCCTCCTTTAACACTCCCTCCATGCCCCCTCCTTTAACACTCCCTCCATGCCCCCTCCTTTAACACTCCCCCCATGCCCCCTCCTTTAACACTCCCCCCATGCCCCCTCCTCTAACACTCCCCCCATGCCCCCTCCTCTAACACTCCCCCCATGCCCCCTCCTCTAACACTCCCCCCATGCCCCCTCCTCTAACACTCCCCCCATGCCCCCTCCTTCAACACTCCTCCCATGCCCCCTCTTTTAACACTCCCCGCATGCCCCCACGCTGCCTTCCGTTCTTCCTCTCCCCCTGCGTGCATCCTACCTCCTCTGCACCTCCGCAGCGCTCACTGTCAGGGCCGCAGGTGAATCTGGAGACACACCGGCCACTGATTCCGCTGCCGCAGCTGCAGCTTCTGCAGGGAGCAAGCCCACACCTGAGGCAGCCTCGGCAGAGTCATCATCAGCCTCGGGAGTGCCGGTTCTGACCATAGTGGCCGGCGTTTTTGTCTTTGCCCTCGTGATCTTCGCGCTCTTCTCGCTCGCCAGTGCCATTCTGGGCATTTTCTTGCGCTAAAAATGATTTGCGACAAACTGGTTTGTAAATGTTTGATTCATGCAAGTCTGATTAAAAACTTTGTATAGCACCAACAATCAGTAGGTGTACAATACGAAGTATCGTGACTTTCTGTGTCACGCTTTCGCAAGTCCCGACGGCGAAATCTGCGAACCTTGTTGCTGGCACCGACACTCGTCACCCTCACGTCGTTCAGTGATTCCTTACGACTAGCATTTCACCTGACGACGCGACTCATGACGAAGGATGGCAGAAAGCGGAGAAAGCGCGACGGCGACGACGGCGAGAGCGACGGAGAGGAGGGCGGGAAGGGGAGGCGAGGCGAGGAGGGAGGGAGGGAGAGGAAAGTAAGGAAGGAGAAGGAGCGAAAAGGAGGGCGACTCGAGAAAGGTGAGAGGCGACGGAAACGACGGGAGAAGAAGCGACGGTCTTTAAGCAACGATGACGCCTCGAGCTCTGATTGGTCGGGCTCCAGCGGAGGTAGCAGCAGTAGTCTGAGCGAGAGCAGCAGCGATGCGGATTCTGATTCGTCGTCAGGTGATCGCAAGAAGCGTGAGCGGCGGCGGGAGAAGCGGGAGAAGCGGGAGAAGCGGGGAAAGGAGAAGGAGAAGCGAAGAAAGAAGGAAGGAGGGAGGGAGCACGAAGAGGATAATGGGTCGGCAGAGGACCGGTTGGAGCGGGATTTGCGGCGGATGATGCGGGAGTTCCCGTTGGACGTGTCGCACGACCTCGTGCGCCTCCTCGAGCGCGTCGACGGCGGTGAGGCGGTCGACGTTGGCGGCATCCCGGACCGCCGCCTCAAGAAGCTTCTCGGAAGCATCTTCCGCTCGCTGGGGATAGATTCCCAAGGCAAGAGCAAAGGCCGAGGCGGTAAGAGCAAGCGCGCCTCGTCGTCCTCGCGCGCTTCGTTGTACCAGCTTCCCAGCGCGGCCCCGCGATGCCTGCCACGTGTCGTGCCGCTAGTGGCCAAGCTGCTGCAGAATCTTCCAGATCCCGAATCTGCTGCTGCTGCTGCTGGGGCTGAAAAAGGTGGCGGTAGGGGGAAGGGGGAAGAGCGCGGAGAGGGGAGGGAAGGCGGAAGCGACCTGGCGGAAGGGGGAGGAAGGGGAGGCGACGAAGCGGCAGTGGTGATAGGCCCCTCGCGGAAGGGAGGGGGCGACGAGGGGGGAGACGGAGAGGGGGAGAGGGAGGGGGAGGGCGGAGTGGGGAGAGGAGGGAGAGGGAGGGGAGAGGGCGAGGGCGAGGGGGAGGAGGCAGCAGAGGCAGCGAGGAGAAGACGGTGAGCAACACTTGTTCAGTAGCAAGGGCATTCGGGGGGATCGAGATGCTTGGTGTAAGAGGGACATTCCGGGTGAGAGGGGTGCTTGGGGCAAGAGAGGTGCTGGACGGAAGAGGGGGCGTGTGAGGGGGGCAAGGGCACATGCTTTTAGGGGGACGGGGGCCGTGTGCTTTCCATGCTACAGCATCCCTGCCCACCCGTAAACCCCTTCTGGTCCACCCCGCCCACGGTTCAAGCCCTCCCTCCACACTGCCCCCCCTCCCTCCACACCGCCCTCCCTCCCTCCACACCGCCCCCCCTCCCTCCAAACCAACCACCCCCCACCCTCCAAACCAACCACCCCCCACCCTCCCGCCCCCAACTCCCCCCAACTCTTCCTCCCCCCCTTCCGCCCTCCCCTTAGGAGCATGGGCCCCGCCATGCCCACAGCAGCGCAGCTGGTGCCCCACCATGCTCTCCCCCAAATCATCCCATCTCTCCCCACTTCCCCATCCCCCTCTCTTGATGTCCCCGGCACCAGCATGGGCCCGGCCATGCCCACGGCAGCGCAGCTGGTCTTCCCAGTCCTCACATGTTGCCCGCCTTTATCCCCCAAATTCCCCCTCTTTTCCCCCCTCCCCCGGTACCAGCATGGGCCCCGCCATGCCCACGGCAGCGCAGCTGGCCGCTGCAGCGTCGCTCACCCGCGCCGTGGAGGAGATGGAGTGAGTGGTGGGGGAGGGGGATGCAGTGAGAGGGGGGAGCGGTGGGGAGAGGGAGGAGGGGTGGGGGATGGGGGTTGGGCGTGGGTGCACCTGGCTGCTGCAGCGTCGCTCACGCGCGCCGTGGAGGAGATGGAGTGAGTGGTGGTGGGAGGGGGATTGGGAGAGGGAGTGAGATGGTGGAGGGGTGGGGGTCGGGGGAGGGTACAGGGGCCCCACCATACCCACCGCAGCACTGCTGGCGGCTGCAGCGTCGCTCACGCGCGCCGTGGAGGAGATGGAGTGAGAGGAGGGGGAGGGTTGGGGAGAGGGAATGAAGGGAGGGGGAATGGGTTCAGGTGAAGGCAGCAGCTTGCGGCTGCAGCGTCGCCCACCCGCTCCGTGGAGATGGAGTGAGTGTTGGGGGGGGGAGGGGATGGGGGTTGGCCATGGGGGCAGAGGGAATGGGTGGGTAAAGTGAGTTCTTCTGTGAGGATAGCTGCCCTGCCCTCACTGTAACAACGCAGCTTGCGGCTGCAGCGTCGCCCACCCGCTCTGTGGAGATGGAGTGAGTGTTGGGGGGAGGGGTGCGGAGAGGGGTGGGCGTGGGAATACAGGGAAAGGGTGGGTGGGAGGGCACTGGGATAGGGTGGATGCACAGCAGCGCTGCTGGCCGCTGCAGCGTCGCTCACACGCGCCGTGGAGGAGATGGAGTGAGTGGAGCGTGTGGAGGGGAGAGCGAGTGAAGCGGGGAATGGGGTGAGTTGGGGTGCAGTGAGGTGCAGTGAGGTGCAGTGAGGTGTGCAGTGAGGGTGGCAGCCACGCTCAGCATGTGCTCTAGAGGAGTGTTGGTCATCTTTCCGCTACCATCTCTGCATCCTCTCTCCATCCACCATCATGCCCCCATCATCACACACCCACCATCCTCCTATCATCCCCTCATCAATCCCCAATCACCCCCCCATCAGCCCTCAATCACCCCAGCATCATCACCCCCCACCATCCCCCCATCCTCCCATCAATCATCGCAGGGAGGCGGAGCAGGCGCTACAAGAAAGCCCCTTTATGGGCCCCATGCCTTCCGCCCTGGCTGCTGAGGCGCATTCGCTAACATTGCCCCCCTATCGCACCCCCATTGTACCCCCCTATCGCACCCCCATTGTACCCCCCTATCGCACCCCCATTGTACCCCCCTATCGCACCCCCATTGTACCCCCCTATCGCACCCCCATTGTACCCCCTATCCTCCCACCCATCACTGCAGGGAGGCGGAGCAGGCGCTGCAAGAGAGCCCGTTTGTGGGCCCCATGCCGCCCGCCCTGGCTGCTGAGGCACCTGCACCCCCAACAACCAACGACCAGCGCTGCCCCTATCCTCCACCCACCGTGTTCCCCCCCCATTCACTGCAGGGAGGCGGAGCAGGCGCTACAGGAGAGCCCATTTGTGGGCCCCATGCCGCCCGCCCTGGCTGCTGAAGCACCTGCACCCCCAACAACCAACGACCAGCGCTGCCCCTATCCTCCCCCCACCGTGCTCCCCCCCATTCACTGCAGGGAGGCGGAGCAGGCGCTGCAGGAGAGCCCATTTGTGGGCCCCATGCCGCCCGCCCTGGCTGCTGAAGCAGCCAACGCGACCCAGGCGGAGAAATACGAGGAGGTGAGGGGAGGGGGGTGAGGGAAGGAGGTGGGGAGTAAGAGGTAGGGATGACAGGTGCTTCACTGCGATCATGCCTCCCCTCCTGCTCTCCTGCACGCGTGCTCACCTGCTCTCCTGCACGCGTGCTCACCTGCTCTCCTGCACGCGTGCTCACCTGCTCTCCTGCACGCGTGCTCACCTGCTCTCCTGCACGCGTGCTCACCTGCTCTCCTGCACGCGTGCTCACCTGCTCTCCTGCACGCGTGCTCACCTGCTCTCCTGCACGCGTGCTCACCTGCTCTCCTGCACGCGTGCTCACCTGCTCTCCTGCACGCGTGCTCACCTGCTCTCCTGCACGCGTGCTCACCTGCTCTCCTGCACGCGTGCTCACCTGCTCTCCTGCACGCGTGCTCACCTGCTCTCCTGCACGCGTGCTCACCTGCTCTCCTGCACGCGTGCTCACCTGCTCTCCTGCACGCGTGCTCACCTGCTCTCCTGCACGCGTGCTCACCTGCTCTCCTGCACGCGTGCTCACCTGCTCTCCTGCACGCGTGCTCACCTGCTCTCCTGCACGCGTGCTCACCTGCTCTCCTGCACGCGTGCTCACCTGCTCTCCTGCACGCGTGCTCACCTGCTCTCCTACACGCGTGCTCACCTGCTCTCCTACACGCGTGCTCACCTGCTCTCCTGCACGCGTGCTCACCTGCTCTCCTGCACGCGTGCTCACCTGCTCTCCTGCACGCGTGCTCACCTGCTCTCCTGCACGCGTGCTCACCTGCTCTCCTGCACGCGTGCTCACCTGCTCTCCTGCACGCGTGCTCACCTGCTCTCCTGCACGCGTGCTCACCTGCTCTCCTGCACGCGTGCTCACCTGCTCTCCTGCACGCGTGCTCACCTGCTCTCCTGCACGCGTGCTCACCTGCTCTCCTGCACGCGTGCTCACCTGCTCTCCTGCACGCGTGCTCACCTGCTCTCCTGCACGCGTGCTCACCTGCTCTCCTGCACGCGTGCTCACCTGCTCTCCTGCACGCGTGCTCACCTGCTCTCCTGCACGCGTGCTCACCTGCTCTCCTGCACGCGTGCTCACCTGCTCTCCTGCACGCGTGCTCACCTGCTCTCCTGCACGCGTGCTCACCTGCTCTCCTGCACGCGTGCTCACCTGCTCTCCTGCACGCGTGCTCACCTGCTCTCCTGCACGCGTGCTCACCTGCTCTCCTGCACGCGTGCTCACCTGCTCTCCTGCACGCGTGCTCACCTGCTCTCCTGCACGCGTGCTCACCTGCTCTCCTGCACGCGTGCTCACCTGCTCTCCTGCACGCGTGCTCACCTGCTCTCCTGCACGCGTGCTCACCTGCTCTCCTGCACGCGTGCTCACCTGCTCTCCTGCACGCGTGCTCACCTGCTCTCCTGCACGCGTGCTCACCTGCTCTCCTGCACGCGTGCTCACCTGCTCTCCTGCACGCGTGCTCACCTGCTCTCCTGCACGCGTGCTCACCTGCTCTCCTGCACCTCCCTCTCCTGCACGCGTGCTCACCTGCCTCTCCTGCACGCGTGCTCACCTGCTCTCCTGCACGCGTGCTCACCTGCTTCTCCTGCACGCGTGCTCACCTGCTCTCCTGCACGCGTGCTCACCTGCTCTCCTGCACGCGTGCTCACCTGCTCTCCTGCACGCGTGCTCACCTGCTCTCCTGCACGCGTGCTCACCTGCTCTCCTGCACGCGTGCTCACCTGCTCTCCTGCACGCGTGCTCACCTGCTCTCTCCTACACGCGTGCTCCACCTGCTCTCCTGCACGCGTGCTCACCTGCTCTCCTACACGCGTGCTCACCTGCTCTCCTGCACGCGTGCTCACCTGCTCTCCTGCACGCGTGCCACCTGCTCTCCCTGCACGCGTGCTCACCTGCTCTCCTACAGCGCGTGCTCACCCTGCTCTCCTACACGCGTGCTCACCTGCTCTCCTGCACGCGTGCTCACCTGCTCTCCTGCACGCGTGCTCACCTGCTCTCCTGCACGCGTGCTCACCTGCTCTCCTGCACGCGTGCTCACCTGCTCTCCTGCACGCGTGCTCACCTGCTCTCCTGCACGCGTGCTCACCTGCTCTCCTGCACGCGTGCTCACCTGCTCTCCTGCACGCGTGCTCACCTGCTCTCCTGCACGCGTGCTCACCTGCTCTCCTGCACGCGTGCTCACCTGCTCTCCTGCACGCGTGCTCACCTGCTCTCCTGCACGCGTGCTCACCTGCTCTCCTACACGCGTGCTCACCTGCTCTCCTGCACGCCCCCGTGCTCACCTGCTCTCCTGCACGCGTGCTCACCTGCTCTCCTGCACGCGTGCTCACCTGCTCTCCTGCACGCGTGCTCACCTGCTCTCCTGCACGCGTGCTCACCTGCTCTCCTGCACGCGTGCTCACCTGCTCTCCTGCACGCGTGCTCACCTGCTCTCCTGCACGCGTGCTCACCTGCTCTCCTGCACGCGTGCTCACCTGCTCTCCTGCACGCGTGCTCACCTGCTCTCCTGCACGCGTGCTCACCTGCTCTCCTCACGCGTGCTCACCTGCTCTCCTGCACGCGTGCTCACCTGCTCTCCTGCACGCGTGCTCACCTGCTCTCCTGCACGCGTGCTCACCTGCTCTCCTGCACGCGTGCTCACCTGCTCTCCTGCACGCGTGCTCACCTGCTCTCCTGCACGCGTGCTCACCTGCTCTCCTGCACGCGTGCTCACCTGCTCTCCTGCACGCGTGCTCACCTGCTCTCCTGCACGCGTGCTCACCTGCTCTCCTGCACGCGTGCTCACCTGCTCTCCTGCACGCGTGCTCACCTGCTCTCCTGCACGCGTGCTCACCTGCTCTCCTGCACGCGTGCTCACCTGCTCTCCTGCACGCGTGCTCACCTGCTCTCCTACACGCGTGCTCACCTGCTCTCCTGCACGCGTGCTCACCTGCTCTCCTGCACGCGTGCTCACCTGCTCTCCTGCACGCGTGCTCACCTGCTCTCCTGCACGCGTGCTCACCTGCTCTCCTGCACGCGTGCTCACCTGCTCTCCTGCACGCGTGCTCACCTGCTCTCCTGCACGCGTGCTCACCTGCTCTCCTGCACGCGTGCTCACCTGCTCTCCTGCACGCGTGCTCACCTGCTCTCCTGCACGCGTGCTCACCTGCTCTCCTGCACGCGTGCTCACCTGCTCTCCTGCACGCGTGCTCACCTGCTCTCCTGCACGCGTGCTCACCTGCTCTCCTGCACGCGTGCTCACCTGCTCTCCTGCACGCGTGCTCACCTGCTCTCCTGCACGCGTGCTCACCTGCTCTCCTGCACGCGTGCTCACCTGCTCTCCTGCACGCGTGCTCACCTGCTCTCCTGCACGCGTGCTCACCTGCTCTCCTGCACGCGTGCTCACCTGCTCTCCTGCACGCGTGCTCACCTGCTCTCCTAGCACGCGTGCTCACCTGCTCTCCTGCACGCGTGCTCACCTGCTCTCCTGCACGCGTGCTCACCTGCTCTCCTGCACGCGTGCTCACCTGCTCTCCTGCACGCGTGCTCACCTGCTCTCCTGCACGCGTGCTCACCTGCTCTCCTGCACGCGTGCTCACCTGCTCTCCTGCACGCGTGCTCACCTGCTCTCCTGCACGCGTGCTCACCTGCTCTCCTGCACGCGTGCTCACCTGCTCTCCTGCACGCGTGCTCACCTGCTCTCCTGCACGCGTGCTCACCTGCTCTCCTGCACGCGTGCTCACCTGCTCTCCTGCACGCGTGCTCACCTGCTCTCCTGCACGCGTGCTCACCTGCTCTCCTGCACGCGTGCTCACCTGCTCTCCTGCACGCGTGCTCACCTGCTCTCCTGCACGCGTGCTCACCTGCTCTCCTACACGCGTGCTCACCTGCTCTCCTGCACGCGTGCTCACCTGCTCTCCTGCACGCGTGCTCACCTGCTCTCCTGCACGCGTGCTCACCTGCTCTCGCTGCACGCGTGCTCACCTGCTCTCCTGCACGCGTGCTCACCTGCTCTCCTGCACGCGTGCTCACCTGCTCTCCTGCACGCGTGCTCACCTGCTCTCCTGCACGCGTGCTCACCTGCTCTCCTGCACGCGTGCTCACCTGCTCTCCTGCACGCGTGCTCACCTGCTCTCCTGCACGCGTGCTCACCTGCTCTCCTGCACGCGTGCTCACCTGCTCTCCTGCACGCGTGCTCACCTGCTCTCCTGCACGCGTGCTCACCTGCTCTCCTGCACGCGTGCTCACCTGCTCTCCTGCACGCGTGCTCACCTGCTCTCCTGCACGCGTGCTCACCTGCTCTCCTGCACGCGTGCTCACCTGCTCTCCTGCACCTGCACGCGTGCTCACCTGCTCTCCTGCACGCGTGCTCACCTGCTCTCCTGCACGCGTGCTCACCTGCTCTCCTGCACGCGTGCTCACCTGCTCTCCTGCACGCGTGCTCACCTGCTCTCCTGCACGCGTGCTCACCTGCTCTCCTGCACGCGTGCTCACCTGCTCTCCTGCACGCGTGCTCACCTGCTCTCCTGCACGCGTGCTCACCTGCTCTCCTGCACGCGTGCTCACCTGCTCTCCTGCACGCGTGCTCACCTGCTCTCCTGCACGCGTGCTCACCTGCTCTCCTGCACGCGTGCTCACCTGCTCTCCTGCACGCGTGCTCACCTGCTCTCCTGCACGCGTGCTCACCTGCTCTCCTGCACGCGTGCTCACCTGCTCTCCTGCACGCGTGCTCACCTGCTCTCCTGCACGCGTGCTCACCTGCTCTCCTGCACGCGTGCTCACCTGCTCTCCTGCACGCGTGCTCACCTGCTCTCCTGCACGCGTGCTCACCTGCTCTCCTGCACGCGTGCTCACCTGCTCTCCTGCACGCGTGCTCACCTGCTCTCCTGCACGCGTGCTCACCTGCTCTCCTGCACGCGTGCTCACCTGCTCTCCTGCACGCGTTGCTCACCTGCTCTCCTGCACGCGTGCTCACCTGCTCTCCTGCACGCGTGCTCACCTGCTCTCCTGCACGCGTGCTCACCTGCTCTCCTGCACGCGTGCTCACCTGCTCTCCTGCACGCGTGCTCACCTGCTCTCCTGCACGCGTGCTCACCTGCTCTCCTGCACGCGTGCTCACCTGCTCTCCTGCACGCGTGCTCACCTGCTCTCCTGCACGCGTGCTCACCTGCTCTCCTGCACGCGTGCTCACCTGCTCTCCTGCACGCGTGCTCACCTGCTCTCCTGCACGCGTGCTCACCTGCTCTCCTGCACGCGTGCTCACCTGCTCTCCTGCACGCGTGCTCACCTGCTCTCCTGCACGCGTGCTCACCTGCTCTCCTGCACGCGTGCTCAACCTGCTCTCCTGCACGCGTGCTCACCTGCTCTCCTGCACGCGTGCTCACCTGCTCTCCTGCACGCGTGCTCACCTGCTCTCCTGCACGCGTGCTCACCTGCTCTCCTGCACGCGTGCTCACCTGCTCTCCTGCACGCGTGCTCACCTGCTCTCCTGCACGCGTGCTCACCTGCTCTCCTGCACGCGTGCTCACCTGCTCTCCTGCACGCGTGCTCACCTGCTCTCCTGCACGCGTGCTCACCTGCTCTCCTGCACGCGTGCTCACCTGCTCTCCTGCACGCGTGCTCACCTGCTCTCCTGCACGCGTGCTCACCTGCTCTCCTACACGCGTGCTCACCTGCTCTCCTACACGCGTGCTCACCTGCTCTCCTACACGCGTGCCTCACCTGCTCTCCTACACGCGTGCTCACCTGCTCTCCTACACGCGTGCTCACCTGCTCTCCTACACGCGTGCTCACCTGCTCTCCTACACGCGTGCTCACCTGCTCTCCTACACGCGTGCTCACCTGCTCTCCTACACGCGTGCTCACCTGCTCTCCTACACGCGTGCTCACCTGCTCTCCTACACGCGTGCTCACCTGCTCTCCTACACGCGTGCTCACCTGCTCTCCTACACGCGTGCTCACCTGCTCTCCTACACGCGTGCTCACCTGCTCTCCTACACGCGTGCTCACCTGCTCTCCTACACGCGTGCTCACCTGCTCTCCTACACGCGTGCTCACCTGCTCTCCTACACGCGTGCTCACCTGCTCTCCTACACGCGTGCTCACCTGCTCTCCTGCACGCGTGCTCACCTGCTCTCCTGCACGCGTGCTCACCTGCTCTCCTGCACGCGTGCTCACCTGCTCTCCTGCACGCGTGCTCACCTGCTCTCCTGCACGCGTGCTCACCTGCTCTCCTGCACGCGTGCTCACCTGCTCTCCTGCACGCGTGCTCACCTGCTCTCCTGCACGCGTGCTCACCTGCTCTCCTGCACGCGTGCTCACCTGCTCTCCTGCACGCGTGCTCACCTGCTCTCCTGCACGCGTGCTCACCTGCTCTCCTGCACGCGTGCTCACCTGCTCTCCTGCACGCGTGCTCACCTGCTCTCCTGCACGCGTGCTCACCTGCTCTCCTGCACGCGTGCTCACCTGCTCTCCTGCACGCGTGCTCACCTGCTCTCCTGCACGCGTGCTCACCTGCTCTCCTGCACGCGTGCTCACCTGCTCTCCTGCACGCGTGCTCACCTGCTCTCCTGCACGCGTGCTCACCTGCTCTCCTGCACGCGTGCTCACCTGCTCTCCTGCACGCGTGCTCACCTGCTCTCCTGCACGCGTGCTCACCTGCTCTCCTGCACGCGTGCTCACCTGCTCTCCTGCACGCGTGCTCACCTGCTCTCCTGCACGCGTGCTCACCTGCTCTCCTGCACGCGTGCTCACCTGCTCTCCTGCACGCGTGCTCACCTGCTCTCCTGCACGCGTGCTCACCTGCTCTCCTGCACGCGTGCTCACCTGCTCTCCTGCACGCGTGCTCACCTGCTCTCCTGCACGCGTGCTCACCTGCTCTCCTGCACGCGTGCTCACCTGCTCTCCTGCACGCGTGCTCACCTGCTCTCCTGCACGCGTGCTCACCTGCTCTCCTGCACGCGTGCTCACCTGCTCTCCTGCACGCGTGCTCACCTGCTCTCCTGCACGCGTGCTCACCTGCTCTCCTGCACGCGTGCTCACCTGCTCTCCTGCACGCGTGCTCACCTGCTCTCCTGCACGCGTGCTCACCTGCTCTCCTGCACGCGTGCTCACCTGCTCTCCTGCACGCGTGCTCACCTGCTCTCCTGCACGCGTGCTCACCTGCTCTCCTGCACGCGTGCTCACCTGCTCTCCTGCACGCGTGCTCACCTGCTCTCCTGCACGCGTGCTCACCTGCTCTCCTGCACGCGTGCTCACCTGCTCTCCTGCACGCGTGCTCACCTGCTCTCCTGCACGCGTGCTCACCTGCTCTCCTGCACGCGTGCTCACCTGCTCTCCTGCACGCGTGCTCACCTGCTCTCCTGCACGCGTGCTCACCTGCTCTCCTGCACGCGTGCTCACCTGCTCTCCTGCACGCGTGCTCACCTGCTCTCCTGCACGCGTGCTCACCTGCTCTCCTGCACGCGTGCTCACCTGCTCTCCTGCACGCGTGCTCACCTGCTCTCCTGCACGCGTGCTCACCTGCTCTCCTGCACGCGTGCTCACCTGCTGCTCTCCTGCACGCGTGCTCACCTGCTCTCCTGCACGCGTGCTCACCTGCTCTCCTGCACGCGTGCTCACCTGCTCTCCTGCACGCGTGCTCACCTGCTCTCCTGCACGCGTGCTCACCTGCTCTCCTGCACGCGTGCTCACCTGCTCTCCTGCACGCGTGCTCACCTGCTCTCCTGCACGCGTGCTCACCTGCTCTCCTGCACGCGTGCTCACCTGCTCTCCTGCACGCGTGCTCACCTGCTCTCCTGCACGCGTGCTCACCTGCTCTCCTGCACGCGTGCTCACCTGCTCTCCTGCACGCGTGCTCACCTGCTCTCCTGCACGCGTGCTCACCTGCTCTCCTGCACGCGTGCTCACCTGCTCTCCTGCACGCGTGCTCACCTGCTCTCCTGCACGCGTGCTCACCTGCTCTCCTGCACGCGTGCTCACCTGCTCTCCTACACGCGTGCTCACCTGCTCTCCTACACGCGTGCTCACCTGCTCTCCTACACGCGTGCTCACCTGCTCTCCTACACGCGTGCTCACCTGCTCTCCTACACGCGTGCTCACCTGCTCTCCTACACGCGTGCTCACCTGCTCTCCTACACGCGTGCTCACCTGCTCTCCTACACGCGTGCTCACCTGCTCTCCTACACGCGTGCTCACCTGCTCTCCTACACGCGTGCTCACCTGCTCTCCTACACGCGTGCTCACCTGCTCTCCTACACGCGTGCTCACCTGCTCTCCTACACGCGTGCTCACCTGCTCTCCTACACGCGTGCTCACCTGCTCTCCTACACGCGTGCTCACCTGCTCTCCTACACGCGTGCTCACCTGCTCTCCTACACGCGTGCTCACCTGCTCTCCTACACGCGTGCTCACCCTGCTCTCCTACACGCGTGCTCACCTGCTCTCCTACACGCGTGCTCACCTGCTCTCCTACACGCGTGCTCACCTGCTCTCCTAGCACGCGTGCTCACCTGCTCTCCTGCACGCGTGCTCACCTGCTCTCCTGCACGCGTGCTCACCTGCTCTCCTGCACGCGTGCTCACCTGCTCTCCTGCACGCGTGCTCACCTGCTCTCCTGCACGCGTGCTCACCTGCTCTCCTGCACGCGTGCTCACCTGCTCTCCTGCACGCGTGCTCACCTGCTCTCCTGCACGCGTGCTCACCTGCTCTCCTGCACGCGTGCTCACCTGCTCTCCTGCACGCGTGCTCACCTGCTCTCCTGCACGCGTGCTCACCTGCTCTCCTGCACGCGTGCTCACCTGCTCTCCTACACGCGTGCTCACCTGCTCTCCTGCACGCGTGCTCACCTGCTCTCCTGCACGCGTGCTCACCTGCTCTCCTGCACGCGTGCTCACCTGCTCTCCTGCACGCGTGCTCACCTGCTCTCCTGCACGCGTGCTCACCTGCTCTCCTGCACGCGTGCTCACCTGCTCTCCTGCACGCGTGCTCACCTGCTCTCCTGCACGCGTGCTCACCTGCTCTCCTGCACGCGTGCTCACCTGCTCTCCTGCACGCGTGCTCACCTGCTCTCCTGCACGCGTGCACTGCTTCCTACGCGTGCTCACCTGCTCTCCTGCACGCGTGCTCACCTGCTCTCCTACACGCGTGCTCACCTGCTCTCCTACACGCGTGCTCACCTGCTCTCCTACACGCGTGCTCACCTGCTCTCCTACACGCGTGCTCACCTGCTCTCCTACACGCGTGCTCACCTGCTCTCCTACACGCGTGCTCACCTGCTCTCCTACACGCGTGCTCACCTGCTCTCCTACACGCGTGCTCACCTGCTCTCCTACACGCGTGCTCACCTGCTCTCCTACACGCGTGCTCACCTGCTCTCCTACACGCGTGCTCACCTGCTCTCCTACACGCGTGCTCACCTGCTCTCCTACACGCGTGCTCACCTGCTCTCCTACACGCGTGCTCACCTGCTCTCCTGCACGCGTGCTCACCTGCTCTCCTACACGCGTGCTCACCTGCTCTCCTACACGCGTGCTCACCTGCTCTCCTACACGCGTGCTCACCTGCTCTCCTGCACGCGTGCTCACCTGCTCTCCTGCACGCGTGCTCACCTGCTCTCCTGCACGCGTGCTCACCTGCTCTCCTGCACGCGTGCTCACCTGCTCTCCTGCACGCGTGCTCACCTGCTCTCCTGCACGCGTGCTCACCTGCTCTCCTGCACGCGTGCTCACCTGCTCTCCTGCACGCGTGCTCACCTGCTCTCCTGCACGCGTGCTCACCTGCTCTCCTGCACGCGTGCTCACCTGCTCTCCTGCACGCGTGCTCACCTGCTCTCCTGCACGCGTGCTCACCTGCTCTCCTGCACGCGTGCTCACCTGCTCTCCTGCACGCGTGCTCACCTGCTCTCCTGCACGCGTGCTCACCTGCTCTCCTGCACGCGTGCTCACCTGCTCTCCTGCACGCGTGCTCACCTGCTCTCCTGCACGCGTGCTCACCTGCTCTCCTGCACGCGTGCTCACCTGCTCTCCTGCACGCGTGCTCACCTGCTCTCCTGCACGCGTGCTCACCTGCTCTCCTGCACGCGTGCTCACCTGCTCTCCTGCACGCGTGCTCACCTGCTCTCCTGCACGCGTGCTCACCTGCTCTCCTGCACGCGTGCTCACCTGCTCTCCTGCACGCGTGCTCACCTGCTCTCCTGCACGCGTGCTCACCTGCTCTCCTGCACGCGTGCTCACCTGCTCTCCTGCACGCGTGCTCACCTGCTCTCCTGCACGCGTGCTCACCTGCTCTCCTGCACGCGTGCTCACCTGCTCTCCTGCACGCGTGCTCACCTGCTCTCCTGCACGCGTGCTCACCTGCTCTCCTGCACGCGTGCTCACCTGCTCTCCTGCACGCGTGCTCACCTGCTCTCCTGCACGCGTGCTCACCTGCTCTCCTGCACGCGTGCTCACCTGCTCTCCTGCACGCGTGCTCACCTGCTCTCCTGCACGCGTGCTCACCTGCTCTCCTGCACGCGTGCTCACCTGCTCTCCTGCACGCGTGCTCACCTGCTCTCCTGCACGCGTGCTCACCTGCTCTCCTGCACGCGTGCTCACCTGCTCTCCTGCACGCGTGCTCACCTGCTCTCCTGCACGCGTGCTCACCTGCTCTCCTGCACGCGTGCTCACCTGCTCTCCTGCACGCGTGCTCACCTGCTCTCCTGCACGCGTGCTCACCTGCTCTCCTGCACGCGTGCTCACCTGCTCTCCTGCACGCGTGCTCACCTGCTCTCCTGCACGCGTGCTCACCTGCTCTCCTGCACGCGTGCTCACCTGCTCTCCTGCACGCGTGCTCACCTGCTCTCCTGCACGCGTGCTCACCTGCTCTCCTGCACGCGTGCTCACCTGCTCTCCTGCACGCGTGCTCACCTGCTCTCCTGCACGCGTGCTCACCTGCTCTCCTGCACGCGTGCTCACCTGCTCTCCTGCACGCGTGCTCACCTGCTCTCCTGCACGCGTGCTCACCTGCTCTCCTGCACGCGTGCTCACCTGCTCTCCTGCACGCGTGCTCACCTGCTCTCCTGCACGCGTGCTCACCTGCTCTCCTGCACGCGTGCTCACCTGCTCTCCTGCACGCGTGCTCACCTGCTCTCCTGCACGCGTGCTCACCTGCTCTCCTGCACGCGTGCTCACCTGCTCTCCTGCACGCGTGCTCACCTGCTCTCCTACACGCGTGCTCACCTGCTCTCCTACACGCGTGCTCACCTGCTCTCCTACACGCGTGCTCACCTGCTCTCCTACACGCGTGCTCACCTGCTCTCCTACACGCGTGCTCACCTGCTCTCCTACACGCGTGCTCACCTGCTCTCCTACACGCGTGCTCACCTGCTCTCCTACACGCGTGCTCACCTGCTCTCCTACACGCGTGCTCACCTGCTCTCCTACACGCGTGCTCACCTGCTCTCCTACACGCGTGCTCACCTGCTCTCCTACACGCGTGCTCACCTGCTCTCCTACACGCGTGCTCACCTGCTCTCCTACACGCGTGCTCACCTGCTCTCCTACACGCGTGCTCACCTGCTCTCCTACACGCGTGCTCACCTGCTCTCCTACACGCGTGCTCACCTGCTCTCCTACACGCGTGCTCACCTGCTCTCCTACACGCGTGCTCACCTGCTCTCCTACACGCGTGCTCACCTGCTCTCCTGCACGCGTGCTCACCTGCTCTCCTGCACGCGTGCTCACCTGCTCTCCTGCACGCGTGCTCACCTGCTCTCCTGCACGCGTGCTCACCTGCTCTCCTGCACGCGTGCTCACCTGCTCTCCTGCACGCGTGCTCACCTGCTCTCCTGCACGCGTGCTCACCTGCTCTCCTGCACGCGTGCTCACCTGCTCTCCTGCACGCGTGCTCACCTGCTCTCCTGCACGCGTGCTCACCTGCTCTCCTGCACGCGTGCTCACCTGCTCTCCTGCACGCGTGCTCACCTGCTCTCCTGCACGCGTGCTCACCTGCTCTCCTGCACGCGTGCTCACCTGCTCTCCTGCACGCGTGCTCACCTGCTCTCCTGCACGCGTGCTCACCTGCTCTCCTGCACGCGTGCTCACCTGCTCTCCTGCACGCGTGCTCACCTGCTCTCCTGCACGCGTGCTCACCTGCTCTCCTGCACGCGTGCTCACCTGCTCTCCTGCACGCGTGCTCACCTGCTCTCCTGCACGCGTGCTCACCTGCTCTCCTGCACGCGTGCTCACCTGCTCTCCTGCACGCGTGCTCACCTGCTCTCCTGCACGCGTGCTCACCTGCTCTCCTGCACGCGTGCTCACCTGCTCTCCTGCACGCGTGCTCACCTGCCTCTCCTGCACGCGTGCTCACCTGCTCTCCTGCACGCGTGCTCACCTGCTCTCCTGCACGCGTGCTCACCTGCTCTCCTGCACGCGTGCTCACCTGCTCTCCTGCACGCGTGCTCACCTGCTCTCCTGCACGCGTGCTCACCTGCTCTCCTCTCCTGCACGCGTGCTCACCTGCTCTCCTGCACGCGTGCTCACCTGCTCTCCTGCACGCGTGCTCACCTGCTCTCCTGCACGCGTGCTCACCTGCTCTCCTGCACGCGTGCTCACCTGCTCTCCTGCACGCGTGCTCACCTGCTCTCCTGCACGCGTGCTCACCTGCTCTCCTGCACGCGTGCTCACCTGCTCTCCTGCACGCGTGCTCACCTGCTCTCCTGCACGCGTGGCTCACCTGCTCTCCTGCACGCGTGCTCACCTGCTCTCCTGCACGCGTGCTCACCTGCTCTCCTGCACGCGTGCTCACCTGCTCTCCTGCACGCGTGCTCACCTGCTCTCCTGCACGCGTGCTCACCTGCTCTCCTGCACGCGTGCTCACCTGCTCTCCTACACGCGTGCTCACCTGCTCTCCTACACGCGTGCTCACCTGCTCTCCTACACGCGTGCTCACCTGCTCTCCTACACGCGTGCTCACCTGCTCTCCTACACGCGTGCTCACCTGCTCTCCTACACGCGTGCTCACCTGCTCTCCTACACGCGTGCTCACCTGCTCTCCTACACGCGTGCTCACCTGCTCTCCTACACGCGTGCTCACCTGCTCTCCTACACGCGTGCTCACCTGCTCTCCTACACGCGTGCTCACCTGCTCTCCTACACGCGTGCTCACCTGCTCTCCTACACGCGTGCTCACCTGCTCTCCTACACGCGTGCTCACCTGCTCTCCTACACGCGTGCTCACCTGCTCTCCTACACGCGTGCTCACCTGCTCTCCTGCACGCGTGCTCACCTGCTCTCCTACACGCGTGCTCACCTGCTCTCCTACACGCGTGCTCACCTGCTCTCCTACACGCGTGCTCACCTGCTCTCCTGCACGCGTGCTCACCTGCTCTCCTACACGCGTGCTCACCTGCTCTCCTACACGCGTGCTCACCTGCTCTCCTACACGCGTGCTCACCTGCTCTCCTACACGCGTGCTCACCTGCTCTCCTACACGCGTGCTCACCTGCTCTCCTGCACGCGTGCTCACCTGCTCTCCTGCACGCGTGCTCACCTGCTCTCCTGCACGCGTGCTCACCTGCTCTCCTGCACGCGTGCTCACCTGCTCTCCTGCACGCGTGCTCACCTGCTCTCCTGCACGCGTGCTCACCTGCTCTCCTGCACGCGTGCTCACCTGCTCTCCTGCACGCGTGCTCACCTGCTCTCCTGCACGCGTGCTCACCTGCTCTCCTGCACGCGTGCTCACCTGCTCTCCTGCACGCGTGCTCACCTGCTCTCCTGCACGCGTGCTCACCTGCTCTCCTGCACGCGTGCTCACCTGCTCTCCTGCACGCGTGCTCACCTGCTCTCCTGCACGCGTGCTCACCTGCTCTCCTGCACGCGTGCTCACCTGCTCTCCTGCACGCGTGCTCACCTGCTCTCCTGCACGCGTGCTCACCTGCTCTCCTGCACGCGTGCTCACCTGCTCTCCTGCACGCGTGCTCACCTGCTCTCCTGCACGCGTGCTCACCTGCTCTCCTACACGCGTGCTCACCTGCTCTCCTACACGCGTGCTCACCTGCTCTCCTACACGCGTGCTCACCTGCTCTCCTACACGCGTGCTCACCTGCTCTCCTACACGCGTGCTCACCTGCTCTCCTACACGCGTGCTCACCTGCTCTCCTACACGCGTGCTCACCTGCTCTCCTACACGCGTGCTCACCTGCTCTCCTACACGCGTGCTCACCTGCTCTCCTACACGCGTGCTCACCTGCTCTCCTACACGCGTGCTCACCTGCTCTCCTACACGCGTGCTCACCTGCTCTCCTACACGCGTGCTCACCTGCTCTCCTACACGCGTGCTCACCTGCTCTCCTACACGCGTGCTCACCTGCTCTCCTACACGCGTGCTCACCTGCTCTCCTACACGCGTGCTCACCTGCTCTCCTGCACGCGTGCTCACCTGCTCTCCTACACGCGTGCTCACCTGCTCTCCTACACGCGTGCTCACCTGCTCTCCTACACGCGTGCTCACCTGCTCTCCTGCACGCGTGCTCACCTGCTCTCCTACACGCGTGCTCACCTGCTCTCCTACACGCGTGCTCACCTGCTCTCCTACACGCGTGCTCACCTGCTCTCCTACACGCGTGCTCACCTGCTCTCCTACACGCGTGCTCACCTGCTCTCCTACACGCGTGCTCACCTGCTCTCCTACACGCGTGCTCACCTGCTCTCCTACACGCGTGCTCACCTGCTCTCCTACACGCGTGCTCACCTGCTCTCCTACACGCGTGCTCACCTGCTCTCCTACACGCGTGCTCACCTGCTCTCCTACACGCGTGCTCACCTGCTCTCCTACACGCGTGCTCACCTGCTCTCCTACACGCGTGCTCACCTGCTCTCCTGCACGCGTGCTCACCTGCTCTCCTGCACGCGTGCTCACCTGCTCTCCTACACGCGTGCTCACCTGCTCTCCTGCACGCGTGCTCACCTGCTCTCCTGCACGCGTGCTCACCTGCTCTCCTGCACGCGTGCTCACCTGCTCTCCTGCACGCGTGCTCACCTGCTCTCCTGCACGCGTGCTCACCTGCTCTCCTGCACGCGTGCTCACCTGCTCTCCTGCACGCGTGCTCACCTGCTCTCCTGCACGCGTGCTCACCTGCTCTCCTGCACGCGTGCTCACCTGCTCTCCTGCACGCGTGCTCACCTGCTCTCCTGCACGCGTGCTCACCTGCTCTCCTGCACGCGTGCTCACCTGCTCTCCTGCACGCGTGCTCACCTGCTCTCCTGCACGCGTGCTCACCTGCTCTCCTACACGCGTGCTCACCTGCTCTCCTACACGCGTGCTCACCTGCTCTCCTACACGCGTGCTCACCTGCTCTCCTACACGCGTGCTCACCTGCTCTCCTACACGCGTGCTCACCTGCTCTCCTACACGCGTGCTCACCTGCTCTCCTACACGCGTGCTCACCTGCTCTCCTACACGCGTGCTCACCTGCTCTCCTACACGCGTGCTCACCTGCTCTCCTACACGCGTGCTCACCTGCTCTCCTACACGCGTGCTCACCTGCTCTCCTACACGCGTGCTCACCTGCTCTCCTACACGCGTGCTCACCTGCTCTCCTGCACGCGTGCTCACCTGCTCTCCTGCACGCGTGCTCACCTGCTCTCCTACACGCGTGCTCACCTGCTCTCCTGCACGCGTGCTCACCTGCTCTCCTGCACGCGTGCTCACCTGCTCTCCTGCACGCGTGCTCACCTGCTCTCCTGCACGCGTGCTCACCTGCTCTCCTACACGCGTGCTCACCTGCTCTCCTGCACGCGTGCTCACCTGCTCTCCTGCACGCGTGCTCACCTGCTCTCCTGCACGCGTGCTCACCTGCTCTCCTGCACGCGTGCTCACCTGCTCTCCTGCACGCGTGCTCACCTGCTCTCCTGCACGCGTGCTCACCTGCTCTCCTACACGCGTGCTCACCTGCTCTCCTACACGCGTGCTCACCTGCTCTCCTACACGCGTGCTCACCTGCTCTCCTACACGCGTGCTCACCTGCTCTCCTACACGCGTGCTCACCTGCTCTCCTACACGCGTGCTCACCTGCTCTCCTGCACGCGTGCTCACCTGCTCTCCTGCACGCGTGCTCACCTGCTCTCCTACACGCGTGCTCACCTGCTCTCCTGCACGCGTGCTCACCTGCTCTCCTGCACGCGTGCTCACCTGCTCTCCTGCACGCGTGCTCACCTGCTCTCCTGCACGCGTGCTCACCTGCTCTCCTGCACGCGTGCTCACCTGCTCTCCTGCACGCGTGCTCACCTGCTCTCCTGCACGCGTGCTCACCTGCTCTCCTGCACGCGTGCTCACCTGCTCTCCTGCACGCGTGCTCACCTGCTCTCCTGCACGCGTGCTCACCTGCTCTCCTACACGCGTGCTCACCTGCTCTCCTACACGCGTGCTCACCTGCTCTCCTACACGCGTGCTCACCTGCTCTCCTACACGCGTGCTCACCTGCTCTCCTACACGCGTGCTCACCTGCTCTCCTGCACGCGTGCTCACCTGCTCTCCTGCACGCGTGCTCACCTGCTCTCCTACACGCGTGCTCACCTGCTCTCCTACACGCGTGCTCACCTGCTCTCCTACACGCGTGCTCACCTGCTCTCCTACACGCGTGCTCACCTGCTCTCCTACACGCGTGCTCACCTGCTCTCCTACACGCGTGCTCACCTGCTCTCCTGCACGCGTGCTCACCTGCTCTCCTGCACGCGTGCTCACCTGCTCTCCTACACGCGTGCTCACCTGCTCTCCTACACGCGTGCTCACCTGCTCTCCTGCACGCGTGCTCACCTGCTCTCCTGCACGCGTGCTCACCTGCTCTCCTGCACGCGTGCTCACCTGCTCTCCTGCACGCGTGCTCACCTGCTCTCCTGCACGCGTGCTCACCTGCTCTCCTACACGCGTGCTCACCTGCTCTCCTACACGCGTGCTCACCTGCTCTCCTACACGCGTGCTCACCTGCTCTCCTACACGCGTGCTCACCTGCTCTCCTACACGCGTGCTCACCTGCTCTCCTACACGCGTGCTCACCTGCTCTCCTACACGCGTGCTCACCTGCTCTCCTACACGCGTGCTCACCTGCTCTCCTGCACGCGTGCTCACCTGCTCTCCTGCACGCGTGCTCACCTGCTCTCCTGCACGCGTGCTCACCTGCTCTCCTGCACGCGTGCTCACCTGCTCTCCTGCACGCGTGCTCACCTGCTCTCCTACACGCGTGCTCACCTGCTCTCCTACACGCGTGCTCACCTGCTCTCCTACACGCGTGCTCACCTGCTCTCCTACACGCGTGCTCACCTGCTCTCCTACACGCGTGCTCACCTGCTCTCCTACACGCGTGCTCACCTGCTCTCCTACACGCGTGCTCACCTGCTCTCCTACACGCGTGCTCACCTGCTCTCCTACACGCGTGCTCACCTGCTCTCCTACACGCGTGCTCACCTGCTCTCCTAGCACGCGTGCTCACCTGCTCTCCTGCACGCGTGCTCACCTGCTCTCCTGCACGCGTGCTCACCTGCTCTCCTGCACGCGTGCTCACCTGCTCTCCTGCACGCGTGCTCACCTGCTCTCCTACACGCGTGCTCACCTGCTCTCCTACACGCGTGCTCACCTGCTCTCCTACACGCGTGCTCACCTGCTCTCCTACACGCGTGCTCACCTGCTCTCCTACACGCGTGCTCACCTGCTCTCCTACACGCGTGCTCACCTGCTCTCCTACACGCGTGCTCACCTGCTCTCCTACACGCGTGCTCACCTGCTCTCCTACACGCGTGCTCACCTGCTCTCCTGCACGCGTGCTCACCTGCTCTCCTGCACGCGTGCTCACCTGCTCTCCTGCACGCGTGCTCACCTGCTCTCCTGCACGCGTGCTCACCTGCTCTCCTGCACGCGTGCTCACCTGCTCTCCTACACGCGTGCTCACCTGCTCTCCTACACGCGTGCTCACCTGCTCTCCTACACGCGTGCTCACCTGCTCTCCTACACGCGTGCTCACCTGCTCTCCTACACGCGTGCTCACCTGCTCTCCTACACGCGTGCTCACCTGCTCTCCTACACGCGTGCTCACCTGCTCTCCTACACGCGTGCTCACCTGCTCTCCTACACGCGTGCTCACCTGCTCTCCTACACGCGTGCTCACCTGCTCTCCTACACGCGTGCTCACCTGCTCTCCTACACGCGTGCTCACCTGCTCTCCTACACGCGTGCTCACCTGCTCTCCTACACGCGTGCTCACCTGCTCTCCTACACGCGTGCTCACCTGCTCTCCTACACGCGTGCTCACCTGCTCTCCTACACGCGTGCTCACCTGCTCTCCTACACGCGTGCTCACCTGCTCTCCTACACGCGTGCTCACCTGCTCTCCTACACGCGTGCTCACCTGCTCTCCTACACGCGTGCTCACCTGCTCTCCTACACGCGTGCTCACCTGCTCTCCTACACGCGTGCTCACCTGCTCTCCTACACGCGTGCTCACCTGCTCTCCTACACGCGTGCTCACCTGCTCTCCTACACGCGTGCTCACCTGCTCTCCTACACGCGTGCTCACCTGCTCTCCTACACGCGTGCTCACCTGCTCTCCTACACGCGTGCTCACCTGCTCTCCTACACGCGTGCTCACCTGCTCTCCTACACGCGTGCTCACCTGCTCTCCTACACGCGTGCTCACCTGCTCTCCTACACGCGTGCTCACCTGCTCTCCTACACGCGTGCTCACCTGCTCTCCTACACGCGTGCTCACCTGCTCTCCTACACGCGTGCTCACCTGCTCTCCTACACGCGTGCTCACCTGCTCTCCTACACGCGTGCTCACCTGCTCTCCTACACGCGTGCTCACCTGCTCTCCTACACGCGTGCTCACCTGCTCTCCTACACGCGTGCTCACCTGCTCTCCTACACGCGTGCTCACCTGCTCTCCTACACGCGTGCTCACCTGCTCTCCTACACGCGTGCTCACCTGCTCTCCTACACGCGTGCTCACCTGCTCTCCTACACGCGTGCTCACCCGTGCTCACCTGCTCTCCTACACGCGTGCTCACCTGCTCTCCTACACGCGTGCTCACCTGCTCTCCTACACGCGTGCTCACCTGCTCTCCTACACGCGTGCTCACCTGCTCTCCTACACGCGTGCTCACCTGCTCTCCTACACGCGTGCTCACCTGCTCTCCTGCACGCGTGCTCACCTGCTCTCCTGCACGCGTGCTCACCTGCTCTCCTACACGCGTGCTCACCTGCTCTCCTACACGCGTGCTCACCTGCTCTCCTACACGCGTGCTCACCTGCTCTCCTACACGCGTGCTCACCTGCTCTCCTACACGCGTGCTCACCTGCTCTCCTACACGCGTGCTCACCTGCTCTCCTACACGCGTGCTCACCTGCTCTCCTACACGCGTGCTCACCTGCTCTCCTACACGCGTGCTCACCTGCTCTCCTACACGCGTGCTCACCTGCTCTCCTACACGCGTGCTCACCTGCTCTCCTACACGCGTGCTCACCTGCTCTCCTACACGCGTGCTCACCTGCTCTCCTACACGCGTGCTCACCTGCTCTCCTACACGCGTGCTCACCTGCTCTCCTACACGCGTGCTCACCTGCTCTCCTACACGCGTGCTCACCTGCTCTCCTACACGCGTGCTCACCTGCTCTCCTACACGCGTGCTCACCTGCTCTCCTACACGCGTGCTCACCTGCTCTCCTACACGCGTGCTCACCTGCTCTCCTACACGCGTGCTCACCTGCTCTCCTACACGCGTGCTCACCTGCTCTCCTACACGCGTGCTCACCTGCTCTCCTACACGCGTGCTCACCTGCTCTCCTACACGCGTGCTCACCTGCTCTCCTACACGCGTGCTCACCTGCTCTCCTACACGCGTGCTCACCTGCTCTCCTACACGCGTGCTCACCTGCTCTCCTACACGCGTGCTCACCTGCTCTCCTACACGCGTGCTCACCTGCTCTCCTACACGCGTGCTCACCTGCTCTCCTACACGCGTGCTCACCTGCTCTCCTACACGCGTGCTCACCTGCTCTCCTACACGCGTGCTCACCTGCTCTCCTACACGCGTGCTCACCTGCTCTCCTACACGCGTGCTCACCTGCTCTCCTACACGCGTGCTCACCTGCTCTCCTACACGCGTGCTCACCTGCTCTCCTACACGCGTGCTCACCTGCTCTCCTACACGCGTGCTCACCTGCTCTCCTACACGCGTGCTCACCTGCTCTCCTACACGCGTGCTCACCTGCTCTCCTGCACGCGTGCTCACCTGCTCTCCTGCACGCGTGCTCACCTGCTCTCCTGCACGCGTGCTCACCTGCTCTCCTGCACGCGTGCTCACCTGCTCTCCTGCACGCGTGCTCACCTGCTCTCCTGCACGCGTGCTCACCTGCTCTCCTGCACGCGTGCTCACCTGCTCTCCTACACGCGTGCTCACCTGCTCTCCTACACGCGTGCTCACCTGCTCTCCTACACGCGTGCTCACCTGCTCTCCTACACGCGTGCTCACCTGCTCTCCTACACGCGTGCTCACCTGCTCTCCTACACGCGTGCTCACCTGCTCTCCTACACGCGTGCTCACCTGCTCTCCTGCACGCGTGCTCACCTGCTCTCCTGCACGCGTGCTCACCTGCTCTCCTGCACGCGTGCTCACCTGCTCTCCTGCACGCGTGCTCACCTGCTCTCCTACACGCGTGCTCACCTGCTCTCCTACACGCGTGCTCACCTGCTCTCCTACACGCGTGCTCACCTGCTCTCCTACACGCGTGCTCACCTGCTCTCCTACACGCGTGCTCACCTGCTCTCCTACACGCGTGCTCACCTGCTCTCCTACACGCGTGCTCACCTGCTCTCCTACACGCGTGCTCACCTGCTCTCCTACACGCGTGCTCACCTGCTCTCCTACACGCGTGCTCACCTGCTCTCCTACACGCGTGCTCACCTGCTCTCCTACACGCGTGCTCACCTGCTCTCCTACACGCGTGCTCACCTGCTCTCCTACACGCGTGCTCACCTGCTCTCCTACACGCGTGCTCACCTGCTCTCCTACACGCGTGCTCACCTGCTCTCCTACACGCGTGCTCACCTGCTCTCCTACACGCGTGCTCACCTGCTCTCCTACACGCGTGCTCACCTGCTCTCCTACACGCGTGCTCACCTGCTCTCCTACACGCGTGCTCACCTGCTCTCCTACACGCGTGCTCACCTGCTCTCCTACACGCGTGCTCACCTGCTCTCCTACACGCGTGCTCACCTGCTCTCCTACACGCGTGCTCACCTGCTCTCCTACACGCGTGCTCACCTGCTCTCCTACACGCGTGCTCACCTGCTCTCCTACACGCGTGCTCACCTGCTCTCCTACACGCGTGCTCACCTGCTCTCCTACACGCGTGCTCACCTGCTCTCCTACACGCGTGCTCACCTGCTCTCCTACACGCGTGCTCACCTGCTCTCCTGCACGCGTGCTCACCTGCTCTCCTGCACGCGTGCTCACCTGCTCTCCTGCACGCGTGCTCACCTGCTCTCCTGCACGCGTGCTCACCTGCTCTCCTGCACGCGTGCTCACCTGCTCTCCTGCACGCGTGCTCACCTGCTCTCCTGCACGCGTGCTCACCTGCTCTCCTACACGCGTGCTCACCTGCTCTCCTACACGCGTGCTCACCTGCTCTCCTACACGCGTGCTCACCTGCTCTCCTACACGCGTGCTCACCTGCTCTCCTACACGCGTGCTCACCTGCTCTCCTACACGCGTGCTCACCTGCTCTCCTACACGCGTGCTCACCTGCTCTCCTGCACGCGTGCTCACCTGCTCTCCTGCACGCGTGCTCACCTGCTCTCCTGCACGCGTGCTCACCTGCTCTCCTGCACGCGTGCTCACCTGCTCTCCTGCACGCGTGCTCACCTGCTCTCCTGCACGCGTGCTCACCTGCTCTCCTACACGCGTGCTCACCTGCTCTCCTACACGCGTGCTCACCTGCTCTCCTACACGCGTGCTCACCTGCTCTCCTACACGCGTGCTCACCTGCTCTCCTACACGCGTGCTCACCTGCTCTCCTACACGCGTGCTCACCTGCTCTCCTGCACGCGTGCTCACCTGCTCTCCTGCACGCGTGCTCACCTGCTCTCCTGCACGCGTGCTCACCTGCTCTCCTGCACGCGTGCTCACCTGCTCTCCTGCACGCGTGCTCACCTGCTCTCCTACACGCGTGCTCACCTGCTCTCCTGCACGCGTGCTCACCTGCTCTCCTACACGCGTGCTCACCTGCTCTCCTACACGCGTGCTCACCTGCTCTCCTACACGCGTGCTCACCTGCTCTCCTACACGCGTGCTCACCTGCTCTCCTGCACGCGTGCTCACCTGCTCTCCTGCACGCGTGCTCACCTGCTCTCCTGCACGCATGCTCACCTGCTCTCCTGCACGCGTGCTCACCTGCTCTCCTGCACGCGTGCTCACCTGCTCTCCTACACGCGTGCTCACCTGCTCTCCTACACGCGTGCTCACCTGCTCTCCTACACGCGTGCTCACCTGCTCTCCTACACGCGTGCTCACCTGCTCTCCTGCACGCGTGCTCACCTGCTCTCCTGCACGCGTGCTCACCTGCTCTCCTGCACGCGTGCTCGCCTGCTCTCCTACACGCGTGCTCACCTGCTCTCCTACACGCGTGCTCACCTGCTTTCCTACACGCGTGCTCACCTGCTCTCCTACACGCGTGCTCACCTGCTCTCCTACACGCGTGCTCACCTGCTCTCCTACACGCGTGCTCACCTGCTCTCCTACACGCGTGCTCACCTGCTCTCCTACACGCGTGCTCACCTGCTCTCCTACACGCGTGCTCACCTGCTCTCCTACACGCGTGCTCACCTGCTCTCCTACACGCGTGCTCACCTGCTCTCCTACACGCGTGCTCACCTGCTCTCCTGCACGCGTGCTCACCTGCTCTCCTGCACGCGTGCTCACCTGCTCTCCTGCACGCGTGCTCACCTGCTCTCCTGCACGCGTGCTCACCTGCTCTCCTGCACGCGTGCTCACCTGCTCTCCTGCACGCGTGCTCACCTGCTCTCCTACACGCGTGCTCACCTGCTCTCCTACACGCGTGCTCACCTGCTCTCCTACACGCGTGCTCACCTGCTCTCCTACACGCGTGCTCACCTGCTCTCCTACACGCGTGCTCACCTGCTCTCCTACACGCGTGCTCACCTGCTCTCCTACACGCGTGCTCACCTGCTCTCCTGCACGCGTGCTCACCTGCTCTCCTGCACGCGTGCTCACCTGCTCTCCTGCACGCGTGCTCACCTGCTCTCCTGCACGCGTGCTCACCTGCTCTCCTGCACGCGTGCTCACCTGCTCTCCTGCACGCGTGCTCACCTGCTCTCCTACACGCGTGCTCACCTGCTCTCCTACACGCGTGCTCACCTGCTCTCCTACACGCGTGCTCACCTGCTCTCCTACACGCGTGCTCACCTGCTCTCCTACACGCGTGCTCACCTGCTCTCCTACACGCGTGCTCACCTGCTCTCCTGCACGCGTGCTCACCTGCTCTCCTGCACGCGTGCTCACCTGCTCTCCTGCACGCGTGCTCACCTGCTCTCCTGCACGCGTGCTCACCTGCTCTCCTGCACGCGTGCTCACCTGCTCTCCTACACGCGTGCTCACCTGCTCTCCTGCACGCGTGCTCACCTGCTCTCCTACACGCGTGCTCACCTGCTCTCCTACACGCGTGCTCACCTGCTCTCCTACACGCGTGCTCACCTGCTCTCCTACACGCGTGCTCACCTGCTCTCCTGCACGCGTGCTCACCTGCTCTCCTGCACGCGTGCTCACCTGCTCTCCTGCACGCGTGCTCACCTGCTCTCCTGCACGCGTGCTCACCTGCTCTCCTGCACGCGTGCTCACCTGCTCTCCTACACGCGTGCTCACCTGCTCTCCTACACGCGTGCTCACCTGCTCTCCTACACGCGTGCTCACCTGCTCTCCTGCACGCGTGCTCACCTGCTCTCCTGCACGCGTGCTCACCTGCTCTCCTGCACGCGTGCTCACCTGCTCTCCTGCACGCGTGCTCACCTGCTCTCCTGCACGCGTGCTCACCTGCTCTCCTGCACGCGTGCTCACCTGCTCTCCTGCACGCGTGCTCACCTGCTCTCCTGCACGCGTGCTCACCTGCTCTCCTGCACGCGTGCTCACCTGCTCTCCTGCACGCGTGCTCACCTGCTCTCCTACACGCGTGCTCACCTGCTCTCCTGCACGCGTGCTCACCTGCTCTCCTGCACGCGTGCTCACCTGCTCTCCTGCACGCGTGCTCACCTGCTCTCCTGCACGCGTGCTCACCTGCTCTCCTGCACGCGTGCTCACCTGCTCTCCTGCACGCGTGCTCACCTGCTCTCCTGCACGCGTGCTCACCTGCTCTCCTACACGCGTGCTCACCTGCTCTCCTACACGCGTGCTCACCTGCTCTCCTACACGCGTGCTCACCTGCTCTCCTACACGCGTGCTCACCTGCTCTCCTACACGCGTGCTCACCTGCTCTCCTACACGCGTGCTCACCTGCTCTCCTACACGCGTGCTCACCTGCTCTCCTACACGCGTGCTCACCTGCTCTCCTACACGCGTGCTCACCTGCTCTCCTGCACGCGTGCTCACCTGCTCTCCTGCACGCGTGCTCACCTGCTCTCCTGCACGCGTGCTCACCTGCTCTCCTGCACGCGTGCTCACCTGCTCTCCTGCACGCGTGCTCACCTGCTCTCCTGCACGCGTGCTCACCTGCTCTCCTGCACGCGTGCTCACCTGCTCTCCTGCACGCGTGCTCACCTGCTCTCCTGCACGCGTGCTCACCTGCTCTCCTGCACGCGTGCTCACCTGCTCTCCTACACGCGTGCTCACCTGCTCTCCTACACGCGTGCTCACCTGCTCTCCTGCACGCGTGCTCACCTGCTCTCCTACACGCGTGCTCACCTGCTCTCCTGCACGCGTGCTCACCTGCTCTCCTACACGCGTGCTCACCTGCTCTCCTGCACGCGTGCTCACCTGCTCTCCTACACGCGTGCTCACCTGCTCTCCTACACGCGTGCTCACCTGCTCTCCTACACGCGTGCTCACCTGCTCTCCTACACGCGTGCTCACCTGCTCTCCTACACGCGTGCTCACCTGCTCTCCTACACGCGTGCTCACCTGCTCTCCTACACGCGTGCTCACCTGCTCTCCTACACGCGTGCTCACCTGCTCTCCTACACGCGTGCTCACCTGCTCTCCTACACGCGTGCTCACCTGCTCTCCTACACGCGTGCTCACCTGCTCTCCTACACGCGTGCTCACCTGCTCTCCTACACGCGTGCTCACCTGCTCTCCTACACGCGTGCTCACCTGCTCTCCTACACGCGTGCTCACCTGCTCTCCTACACGCGTGCTCACCTGCTCTCCTACACGCGTGCTCACCTGCTCTCCTACACGCGTGCTCACCTGCTCTCCTACACGCGTGCTCACCTGCTCTCCTACACGCGTGCTCACCTGCTCTCCTACACGCGTGCTCACCTGCTCTCCTACACGCGTGCTCACCTGCTCTCCTACACGCGTGCTCACCTGCTCTCCTACACGCGTGCTCACCTGCTCTCCTACACGCGTGCTCACCTGCTCTCCTACACGCGTGCTCACCTGCTCTCCTACACGCGTGCTCACCTGCTCTCCTACACGCGTGCTCACCTGCTCTCCTACACGCGTGCTCACCTGCTCTCCTACACGCGTGCTCACCTGCTCTCCTACACGCGTGCTCACCTGCTCTCCTACACGCGTGCTCACCTGCTCTCCTACACGCGTGCTCACCTGCTCTCCTACACGCGTGCTCACCTGCTCTCCTACACGCGTGCTCACCTGCTCTCCTACACGCGTGCTCACCTGCTCTCCTACACGCGTGCTCACCTGCTCTCCTACACGCGTGCTCACCTGCTCTCCTACACGCGTGCTCACCTGCTCTCCTACACGCGTGCTCACCTGCTCTCCTACACGCGTGCTCTTCCTGCTCTCCTACACGCGTGCTCACCTGCTCTCCTACACGCGTGCTCACCTGCTCTCCTACACGCGTGCTCACCTGCTCTCCTACACGCGTGCTCACCTGCTCTCCTACACGCGTGCTCACCTGCTCTCCTGCACGCGTGCTCACCTGCTCTCCTGCACGCGTGCTCACCTGCTCTCCTGCACGCGTGCTCACCTGCTCTCCTACACGCGTGCTCACCTGCTCTCCTGCACGCGTGCTCACCTGCTCTCCTACACGCGTGCTCACCTGCTCTCCTACACGCGTGCTCACCTGCTCTCCTACACGCGTGCTCACCTGCTCTCCTACACGCGTGCTCACCTGCTCTCCTGCACGCGTGCTCACCTGCTCTCCTGCACGCGTGCTCACCTGCTCTCCTGCACGCGTGCTCACCTGCTCTCCTGCACGCGTGCTCACCTGCTCTCCTGCACGCGTGCTCACCTGCTCTCCTACACGCGTGCTCACCTGCTCTCCTACACGCGTGCTCACCTGCTCTCCTACACGCGTGCTCACCTGCTCTCCTACACGCGTGCTCACCTGCTCTCCTGCACGCGTGCTCACCTGCTCTCCTGCACGCGTGCTCACCTGCTCTCCTACACGCGTGCTCACCTGCTCTCCTGCACGCGTGCTCACCTGCTCTCCTGCACGCGTGCTCACCTGCTCTCCTGCACGCGTGCTCACCTGCTCTCCTGCACGCGTGCTCACCTGCTCTCCTGCACGCGTGCTCACCTGCTCTCCTGCACGCGTGCTCACCTGCTCTCCTACACGCGTGCTCACCTGCTCTCCTACACGCGTGCTCACCTGCTCTCCTGCACGCGTGCTCACCTGCTCTCCTGCACGCGTGCTCACCTGCTCTCCTGCACGCGTGCTCACCTGCTCTCCTGCACGCGTGCTCACCTGCTCTCCTGCACGCGTGCTCACCTGCTCTCCTACACGCGTGCTCACCTGCTCTCCTGCACGCGTGCTCACCTGCTCTCCTACACGCGTGCTCACCTGCTCTCCTACACGCGTGCTCACCTGCTCTCCTACACGCGTGCTCACCTGCTCTCCTGCACGCGTGCTCACCTGCTCTCCTGCACGCGTGCTCACCTGCTCTCCTGCACGCGTGCTCACCTGCTCTCCTGCACGCGTGCTCACCTGCTCTCCTGCACGCGTGCTCACCTGCTCTCCTGCACGCGTGCTCACCTGCTCTCCTGCACGCGTGCTCACCTGCTCTCCTGCACGCGTGCTCACCTGCTCTCCTACACGCGTGCTCACCTGCTCTCCTACACGCGTGCTCACCTGCTCTCCTGCACGCGTGCTCACCTGCTCTCCTGCACGCGTGCTCACCTGCTCTCCTGCACGCGTGCTCACCTGCTCTCCTGCACGCGTGCTCACCTGCTCTCCTGCACGCGTGCTCACCTGCTCTCCTACACGCGTGCTCACCTGCTCTCCTGCACGCGTGCTCACCTGCTCTCCTACACGCGTGCTCACCTGCTCTCCTACACGCGTGCTCACCTGCTCTCCTACACGCGTGCTCACCTGCTCTCCTACACGCGTGCTCACCTGCTCTCCTACACGCGTGCTCACCTGCTCTCCTACACGCGTGCTCACCTGCTCTCCTACACGCGTGCTCACCTGCTCTCCTACACGCGTGCTCACCTGCTCTCCTACACGCGTGCTCACCTGCTCTCCTACACGCGTGCTCACCTGCTCTCCTACACGCGTGCTCACCTGCTCTCCTACACGCGTGCTCACCTGCTCTCCTACACGCGTGCTCACCTGCTCTCCTACACGCGTGCTCACCTGCTCTCCTGCACGCGTGCTCACCTGCTCTCCTACACGCGTGCTCACCTGCTCTCCTACACGCGTGCTCACCTGCTCTCCTACACGCGTGCTCACCTGCTCTCCTACACGCGTGCTCACCTGCTCTCCTACACGCGTGCTCACCTGCTCTCCTACACGCGTGCTCACCTGCTCTCCTACACGCGTGCTCACCTGCTCTCCTACACGCGTGCTCACCTGCTCTCCTACACGCGTGCTCACCTGCTCTCCTACACGCGTGCTCACCTGCTCTCCTACACGCGTGCTCACCTGCTCTCCTACACGCGTGCTCACCTGCTCTCCTACACGCGTGCTCACCTGCTCTCCTACACGCGTGCTCACCTGCTCTCCTGCACGCGTGCTCACCTGCTCTCCTGCACGCGTGCTCACCTGCTCTCCTGCACGCGTGCTCACCTGCTCTCCTACCGCTCACTGCTCCTACACGCGTGCTCACCTGCTCTCCTGCACGCGTGCTCACCTGCTCTCCTGCACGCGTGCTCACCTGCTCTCCTACACGCGTGCTCACCTGCTCTCCTACACGCGTGCTCACCTGCTCTCCTGCACGCGTGCTCACCTGCTCTCCTGCACGCGTGCTCACCTGCTCTCCTGCACGCGTGCTCACCTGCTCTCCTGCACGCGTGCTCACCTGCTCTCCTGCACGCGTGCTCACCTGCTCTCCTGCACGCGTGCTCACCTGCTCTCCTACACGCGTGCTCACCTGCTCTCCTACACGCGTGCTCACCTGCTCTCCTGCACGCGTGCTCACCTGCTCTCCTGCACGCGTGCTCACCTGCTCTCCTGCACGCGTGCTCACCTGCTCTCCTGCACGCGTGCTCACCTGCTCTCCTGCACGCGTGCTCACCTGCTCTCCTACACGCGTGCTCACCTGCTCTCCTGCACGCGTGCTCACCTGCTCTCCTGCACGCGTGCTCACCTGCTCTCCTGCACGCGTGCTCACCTGCTCTCCTGCACGCGTGCTCACCTGCTCTCCTGCACGCGTGCTCACCTGCTCTCCTGCACGCGTGCTCACCTGCTCTCCTACACGCGTGCTCACCTGCTCTCCTACACGCGTGCTCACCTGCTCTCCTGCACGCGTGCTCACCTGCTCTCCTGCACGCGTGCTCACCTGCTCTCCTACACGCGTGCTCACCTGCTCTCCTACACGCGTGCTCACCTGCTCTCCTACACGCGTGCTCACCTGCTCTCCTACACGCGTGCTCACCTGCTCTCCTACACGCGTGCTCACCTGCTCTCCTACCTGCTCTCCTACACGCGTGCTCACCTGCTCTCCTACACGCGTGCTCACCTGCTCTCCTACACGCGTGCTCACCTGCTCTCCTACACGCGTGCTCACCTGCTCTCCTACACGCGTGCTCACCTGCTCTCCTACACGCGTGCTCACCTGCTCTCCTACACGCGTGCTCACCTGCTCTCCTACACGCGTGCTCACCTGCTCTCCTACACGCGTGCTCACCTGCTCTCCTACACGCGTGCTCACCTGCTCTCCTACACGCGTGCTCACCTGCTCTCCTACACGCGTGCTCACCTGCTCTCCTACACGCGTGCTCACCTGCTCTCCTACACGCGTGCTCACCTGCTCTCCTACACGCGTGCTCACCTGCTCTCCTACACGCGTGCTCACCTGCTCTCCTACACGCGTGCTCACCTGCTCTCCTACACGCGTGCTCACCTGCTCTCCTACACGCGTGCTCACCTGCTCTCCTACACGCGTGCTCACCTGCTCTCCTACACGCGTGCTCACCTGCTCTCCTACACGCGTGCTCACCTGCTCTCCTACACGCGTGCTCACCTGCTCTCCTACACGCGTGCTCACCTGCTCTCCTACACGCGTGCTCACCTGCTCTCCTACACGCGTGCTCACCTGCTCTCCTACACGCGTGCTCACCTGCTCTCCTACACGCGTGCTCACCTGCTCTCCTACACGCGTGCTCACCTGCTCTCCTACACGCGTGCTCACCTGCTCTCCTACACGCGTGCTCACCTGCTCTCCTACACGCGTGCTCACCTGCTCTCCTACACGCGTGCTCACCTGCTCTCCTACACGCGTGCTCACCTGCTCTCCTACACGCGTGCTCACCTGCTCTCCTACACGCGTGCTCACCTGCTCTCCTACACGCGTGCTCACCTGCTCTCCTACACGCGTGCTCACCTGCTCTCCTACACGCGTGCTCACCTGCTCTCCTACACGCGTGCTCACCTGCTCTCCTACACGCGTGCTCACCTGCTCTCCTACACGCGTGCCTCACCTGCTCTCCTACACGCGTGCTCACCTGCTCTCCTACACGCGTGCTCACCTGCTCTCCTACACGCGTGCTCACCTGCTCTCCTACACGCGTGCTCACCTGCTCTCCTACACGCGTGCTCACCTGCTCTCCTACACGCGTGCTCACCTGCTCTCCTACACGCGTGCTCACCTGCTCTCCTACACGCGTGCTCACCTGCTCTCCTACACGCGTGCTCACCTGCTCTCCTACACGCGTGCTCACCTGCTCTCCTACACGCGTGCTCACCTGCTCTCCTACACGCGTGCTCACCTGCTCTCCTACACGCGTGCTCACCTGCTCTCCTACACGCGTGCTCACCTGCTCTCCTACACGCGTGCTCACCTGCTCTCCTACACGCGTGCTCACCTGCTCTCCTACACGCGTGCTCACCTGCTCTCCTACACGCGTGCTCACCTGCTCTCCTACACGCGTGCTCACCTGCTCTCCTACACGCGTGCTCACCTGCTCTCCTACACGCGTGCTCACCTGCTCTCCTACACGCGTGCTCACCTGCTCTCCTACACGCGTGCTCACCTGCTCTCCTACACGCGTGCTCACCTGCTCTCCTACACGCGTGCTCACCTGCTCTCCTACACGCGTGCTCACCTGCTCTCCTACACGCGTGCTCACCTGCTCTCCTACACGCGTGCTCACCTGCTCTCCTACACGCGTGCTCACCTGCTCTCCTACACGCGTGCTCACCTGCTCTCCTACACGCGTGCTCACCTGCTCTCCTACACGCGTGCTCACCTGCTCTCCTACACGCGTGCTCACCTGCTCTCCTACACGCGTGCTCACCTGCTCTCCTACACGCGTGCTCACCTGCTCTCCTACACGCGTGCTCACCTGCTCTCCTACAACGCGTGCTCACCTGCTCTCCTACACGCGTGCTCACCTGCTCTCCTGCCCCTCTCCCACCTGGATGCATTCCAGAAGCCCCACCTGAGCGCGGATCCAACATGGGGGTGGCTGCTGCTGCTGCTGCTGCTGCTGCTGCTGCTGCTGCTGCTGTTGCGCGTTGCATGCCTGCCTGCCTTCCATCGTATCGTGCCCTCCTCTCTCCCTCCTCTCAGGTGGAGCGTGTTTTGAGTCGACTCAAAACACGGCTGCCTGCTGCTGCTGCTGCTGCGCGTTGCCTGCCTGCCCTCCATCGTATCATTGCCTCTTCTCTCCCTCCTCTCAGGTGGAGCGCATTTTGGACCCGGAGCTAACTGCGTACGCCATCTTGGAGGTGACGCCTGCTGCTGCTTGTTGCATGCCTGCCTGCCCTCCATCATGCCCTTCCCCTCCTTATCCCCCCCCCCAGGTGGAGCGCATTCTCGACCCAGAGCTGACTGCGTACGCTATCTTGGGGGTAACGCCTGCTGCGGGCGACAGCGAGATTAAGAAGCGGTGAGCGGAGGGGGCGGGAGGGGGAGAGTCAAGCATTGGAGGTCAGGGTGGAGGCGGGGGGTGAGGGGATGAACTTGATGCTCCTGCTTGGGCTGCTGGGGGTGACGGCTGCTGCGGGCGACAGCGAGATTAAGAAGCGGTGAGCGGAGGGGGCGGGAGGGGGAGAATGGAGGATGGAAGGGGAGAGGAGGGGTTGGAGGTGGAAACCTTGGGGGTGGGGAGCTGTGAACGTGGATACTCGGAGGTTGCTAGTGAACGTGGATACTCGGAGGTTGCTAGTGAACGTGGATACTCGGAGGTTGCTAGTGAACGTGGATACTCGGAGGTTGCTAGTGAACGTGGATACTCGGAGGTTGCCAGTTACTGGAAAGCACCTCTGCTGGTGCATGTGCATCCAGATAAGCCACGTGGTTGTTTTGAGACGTCTCAAAACAGTTACTGGAAAGCACCTCTGCTGGTGCATGTGCATCCAGACCAAAGCACCTCTGCTGGTGCATGTGCATCCAGATAAGTGCAGCCACGCATGCACAGGAGGCGTCAGGAAGAATAGCTTCCCAGGCCATCTTCATCCCACACCGTGAATCCTAAATGCCCCTCCCTCCATCCCTTTTGATGCCTTCCTTCTTCTCCCCCCCCTCCACTGCACACAGGCTTTTTTTTTTTAGAATTCTCAAAATGCCCCTCCATCCCTTTTGATGCCTTCCTTCTTCTCCCCCCCCCCCTTCCACTGCACACAGCTACTGGAAAGCACCTCTGCTGGTGCATGTGCATTCTGCATGTGTATAGGAGGCGTCAGGACTCAGGAATAGTAGCTTCCCGGATCATCTTCACTCCACCCCATGAATCCTAAATGCCCCTCCCTCCATCCCTTTTCATGCCTTCCTTCTTCTCCCCCCCCCCTTCCACTGCACACAGCTACTGGAAAGCGTCGCTGCTGGTGCATCCGGACAAGTGCAGCCACCAGCGAGCGCAGGAGGCGTTTCTGCCTCCTACCTCCTAGTCCTGCACCATCTGCATCCCACAACACGGATCCGTAACCCGTCCCCATCCCTACTCCCCTTTTCGTCCCCGCTCCACGCACAGCTACTGGAAAGCATCGCTGCTGGTGCATCCGGACAAGTGCAGCCACCCGCGCGCGCAGGAGGCGTTTCTGCGGCTGAACGACGCCGTGAACCGACTCAAGGACCCCAGTAAGGTGAGCTTCTGTGGAAGCTCCCCTTCTGTTTCACAAGTGTGTGCGTGAGCGTGTGTGTGTTTCTGCGGCTCAACGACGCCGTGAACCGACTCAAGGACCCCAGTAAGGTGCGCCACTTGGCAGCGCACGCATGCATGCATGTATGCACAGGCGCGTGTACATGTGAGGCTCAACGATGCAGTGAACCGACTCAAGGACCCCAGTAAGGTGCGCTGCTCTTGAACAACCGCCGTGAACCGACTCAATGATGACGAGGTGCCTCTGGGGTGCCTCTGTGGCTCATCGATGCAGTGAATCGACTCAAGGACCCCAGTAAGGTGCGCTGCTCTTGAACAACCGCCGTGAACCGACTCAATGATGACGAGGTGCCTCTGGGGTGCCTCTGTGGCTCATCGATGCAGTGAATCGACTCAAGGACCCCAGTAAGGTGCGCTGCTCTTGAACACCCCGCCCGACCCTTCAGCCCGCCAACACAGGAGGCAAGGTACGCAGCCGTGCAAGCCCGCCTGCATGCGTGCATGCATGCATATGCGTGTGTGTGTGATTGCCTCTGCGGCTCAACGATGCAGTGAACCGACTCAAGGACCCCAGTAAGGTGCGCTGCTCTGGAAGCCCCCCCTTTTTCAGGCTGCTATCAACCCAGAGTCAGGCATGCAACCATGCATTCGCATGTGCATATGCATATCGTGTCTCAAGGCCAATGGGACCAGGCCTAATCGTCCGAAAGTTGGGGTCTTTTTAGCCCACCTTAAAGCTCGCGTCTCATATTTCTACTATCCAACCAAGTGTTAAATGGTTGGAATTTGGTAACAGCAAAGTTTGTCGCAAAGCACACCAAAGCAAGGGGTGGTTTGGGAAAGTTGGCTGTCGCACACTTCCCGTGCACACCAAGCGTTTACAACTTCCAAAAATATGAGACTCTGAAACTCAACATTGACAGAAGGGGGGACCGAACCTGTCCCCCTTGGCTCGTTTTCCATCCAAACCAACCCACCCTGGTTTGTTTTGGCCTCGACTGTTTTGGTAGTTCGCTGTGGTTTTTTCACCCACTCGTCAAATATTTCGTTTTCGTTACCCAATCACAGTCGGGTAAACCCAACCAAGTGTTAAACGGTTGGAAATATGAGACGCGAGCTTTAAAGCCCACGCACTCGAGGACAACGCTCATGCGATTTGGGACACTTGAGGCACCGCACCAACCCACCCAGGAGAAAAAACTGGAAAAAAAACTTATCTTGACACTAGAGGCTGCACAACTTCATAACTTTCGTGACAGCCCAGCCTCTATGCAGTGCTTTCTGGAGGTGAGGGGCATCGATCCCCTTACCTATCGCATGCAAAGCGATCGCTCTACCATGTGAGCTACACCCCCGATGTTCATCCATCATGCAAGCTTATATCCCTGAAAACCTTTATCCCTCCGTGAATACATGCATTTGCATGGGCTTTCACATCTTGGCATGCGTGCTCTGCATGTACATCTGTGTACGTGTGTGCTCATCTGTGTGCATGTGTGTACGTGTGTGCTCATCTGTGTGCATGTGTGTACGTGTGTGCTCATCTGTGTGCATGTGTGTACGTGTGTGCTCATCTGTGTGCATGTGTACGTGTGTGCTCATCTGTGTGCATGTGTGTACGTGTGTGCTCATCTGTGTGCATGTGTGTACGTGTGTGCTCATCTGTGTGCATGTGTACGTGTGTGCTCATCTGTGTGCATGGGCTTTAACATCTTGGCATGCGTGCTCTGCATCCTGCTCTCATCCATTTTAATGGATGTGGGCGGGTGCACGTATCTGTTCATATGTGCATGCATGTGTGCGCATGCGTGTGCATCTTTCTGCATGTGTGTGAATGCATGTGTGTGAATGCATGTGTGTGCATGCATGTGTGTGCATGCATGTGTGTGAATGCATGTGTGTGCATGCATGTGTGTGCATGCATGTGTGTGCATGCATGTGTGCGCTTGCGTGTGCATCTGTCTGCATACGTGAATGCATTTCTATGGACCTGTGTGCATGCATGGCTGGCTGGCTGTGCAGAGATCGGTGGTGGATGCGGAGATTGCAGCCAGGGAGGAGCGCAAAGAAATGGAGGTGAGGGGCTACGGGGCATTGCATGGCATGTGCGTGCATGGCTGTGTATGGCTGTGCGTGCAGAGATCGGTGGTGGATGCGGAGATTGCAGCCAGGGATGAGCGCAAGGCCATGCAGGTGAGAGGGCATGGGGGAATGGAGGGGTTTCCTGGTAAAATAAGCGGGATTGGTGGGATTGGTGGCAAGCTCTCTCGTATGCCGGTCTCCCTCTGCCTCTCTGTTCTTCTCCACGCCCCTCCTCTGCACCCTCTTTCCTTCTGTCATCATGTCTCCATGAGAAAACTCGAGTGGCGCAAGCTCAGAGTGGCGCAAGCTCAGAGTGGCGCAAGCTCAGAGTGGCCTCATTTCCTCTGCCCTTCTAGTGCTCCCATTCCAGTCCCTCTCTCACCACTCTCCATGCTCCCCCCCCACAACCTCTCAGGCGGAGCTAAAGGCGTTGAGGGAGGCAGCAGAGTGGCGCAAGCTCAGAGGTGGGTTGGGGGGGGGGGGGGGGGGGGGGGAGGAGAGGAATGGAAAGGGTTTGGAGGGAGGAGGGTTCAGGGGAAACGGAAGGGGGAGGTGGGGGGAAGGGCAGCTCGGGTTCTCCCAACCCCTCAGGCGGAGCTGGGGGCGCTGAGGGAGGCAGTTGAGTGGCGCAAGCTCAGAGGTGGGTGGGGGGGGTAGGGAGAGGGAAAGGGTTAGGAGGGAGGAGGGAAGGGGAGACGAAAATGGGAGGAGGGGAGAACGGCGGGACAGGTTCTCCCCCACCCCTTCAGGCGGAGCTATGGTTGCTGAGGGAGGCGGCAAAGTGGTGCAAGCTCAGAGGTGGGTGGGTGGTGGGGGAGAGAGGGGAAGGGGTTTGGGGAGGGACTGGCGCAAGCTCAGAGGTGGGTGGGTGGGGGGGGAGAGAGGGGAAGGGGTTTGGGGAGAAAATGGCGCAAGCTCAGAGGTGGGTGGGTGGGGGGGGGAGAGAGGGGAAGGGGTTTGGGGAGAAAATGGCGCAAGCTCAGAGGCGACCTCCAAGCACAACGTTTCCGCTTTTAACACCACTTTTGACCGCCCTTGACTGCTGTTTACTGCTGCTGGCTTTACATGCACCTGGCAAGGCCCTACTTGGGGATGACGAGCTGCTGGGGACAGCGAGGGGGGAGGGAGGCGGATGGGAGGGGTAGGGGGGATGGAGAGCAAGTGTAACACCTCTGCCCTTGACTCCTACTTCACCTGCCCTTGACCACGAAGCGAGGAGGGTGGGAGGTGGGGGGGGACGGGGATGAACAAGTGTAACACCTCCGCCTTTGACTCCTACTTTACCTGTTCCTCACCACCGGGCGAGGCCCTGCCCGGGGATGACGAGCTGCTGGGGGCAGCGAGGAGGGAGGGCGTGGAGCAAGCAGAACGCCCCCTCCCTTAACTCTCCTCATTTGGCTATTCTTGACTGTGTTGACTGTTGTTGACTCACCTTGACCGCACATGCACCAGGCGAGGCCCTGCCCGGGGATGACGAGGTGCTGGGGGCAGTGAGGAGGCGTGGAACAAGCACTGCGCTGTGTACCTCCTTCACTCTTTACCCGTTCTTGAATGTTGTTGACTTGCCTTGACCGCACATGCACCAGGCGAGGCTCTGCCCGGGGATGACGAGCTGCTGGGGACAGTGAGGAGGGAGGGAGTGGAGCGCGAGACATGGATGACAGAGCTGCCCCCCGAACGACAGGTGGGTGTGGTGTGGTGAGGTGCGGCATGGTGAGGTGTGGCATGCTGTGGTGTGGTGTGGCGTGGTGTGGCGTGGTGTGGTGTGGTGTGGCTTTGTGTGGTGTGGTGTGGCAATGGGCTCCCAGTGGGCTTTCGATTGGCTTCGGATGGGCTCGCGGTGGAACGTTGCCCATGCGCAATTTGGGTGGCATCCCAAACATGCCTATGGAGGAACACGCAGCAGAATCAAATCAGATCGAATTGCACGAACGATGATGGAGCTTGTCTTGCGACAGAATGGTTCGGTCACGACTCACACGTGACAAACACAAGGCCCTCATATGAAAGAACGGCTCAGAACCTCAAGATTACAGGGGTCGAGAAAGGGTTGGGGGAAGTTTATCTGCCGTGGTGGCTGCTGCTTGGGTTGGAGCCACATTCAGGAGTTGGGGATGCGGGTCGCTGTGGTGGGCGTTGCTTGCGTGCTGGTCGCTGTGGTGGGCGGTGCTGACTTTTTAGTTGACTCAAAAGTTGACTTTTGACTCTTGAGTCAACTCAAAAGTTCGCTGGTGAGCACCATGTCACACGCATGGTGGTGTATTTCAACCACAGCATTCTTTAGTTGACTCAAAAGTTGACTTTTGACTCTTGAGTCAACTCAAAAGTTCGCTGGTGAGCACCATGTCACACGCATGGTGGTGTATTTCAACCACAGCATTCTTTAGTTGACTCAAAAGTTGACTTTTGACTCTTGAGTCAACTCAAAAGTTCGCTGGTGAGCACCATGTTACACGCATGGTGGTGTATTTCAACCACAGCATTCTTTAGTTGACTCAAAAGTTGACTTTTGACTCTTGAGTCAACTCAAAAGTTCGCTGGTGAGCACCATGTCACACGCATGGTGGTGTATTTCAACCACAGCATTCTTTAGTTGACTCAAAAGTTGACTTTTGACTCTTGAGTCAACTCAAAAGTTCGCTGGTGAGCACCATGTCACACGCATGGTGGTGTATTTCAACCACAGCATTCTTTAGTTGACTCAAAAGTTGACTTTTGACTCTTGAGTCAACTCAAAAGTTCGCTGGTGAGCACCATGTCACACGCATGGTGGTGTATTTCAACCACAGCATTCTTTAGTTGACTCAAAAGTTGACTTTTGACTCTTGAGTCAACTCAATAGTTCGCTGGTGAGCACCATGTCACACGCATGGTGGTGTATTTCAACCACAGCATTCTTTAGTTGACTCAAAAGTTGACTTTTGACTTTTGAGTCGACTCAATAGTTCGCTGGTGAGCACCATGTCACACGCATGGTGGTGTATTTCAACCACAGCATTTCCTACTAAGCCATGAAGTCATTATGCACGCATGTTCCTTGCGCACACCCACCCAACCTCAAACCAATCACTACCCCATCCCTATCCCCTCGTCCATCTCGTCCCTCTGTCCCTGCCCCTTCTTTTGAGTCGACTCAAAAGGTGTCGTGTGCCATTGTAACGAGGTGACTTTTGAGTCGACTCAAAAGTTAACTACCCCAACCCTATCCCCTCCTCCATCTCGTCTCTCTGTCCCTGCCCCTTCTCCCAACCTCCCCTCCCCTCTCCATCTCCCCCTCCCCTTCCATCTCCCCCCGTCCGTACCCTCTCAGGCGGGCCCGCCAGCTCAGACCAACACATTCTTCAGTCGCAGTGACAAGGTGGGGCGGGGCGACACGTCAGCATGGACCGACAACCCCGAGCAGCGAGCTGCCAGGGCCAAGCAACAGTGAGCGCTAGTTTCCATACTTCACCGCTCCACAACGCTGCACCACTCTGCATCCCTGTTTTACCTCCCCCTCACACGCTCACCTGACACATCAGCATGGACCGACAACCCCGAGCAGCGAGCTGCCAGAGCCAAGCAACTGTGAGCGCCAGCCCAATGTGTCCTTAGTTATCTGTACTGGAGAGTCCAATGGCCAGTCTAGGGGCCCAAAACAAACCCCACCCCTCCATCGGTACCCCTAACTGAACCCACACCTATACGCCTGGTGGCATGTTCCCATCGTGCACCCATCATTCACTTTTTCCCACGCCTGGCATTGCACCCAACTCCCCCAACCGGTTCTGACTGAACCCTCTTTTCAGGTACCTCGAGGCCTATTCCTCTGCTGCCAATGCGCTGGAAGGCCCTTCTGCTGACTCAGCCGCCACCCTGCAGTCACTACAGGACAAGCGCACGGCGGCACTAGTGGACAATCTTGCCGCCCAGAAGCAAGCGGTTTCATTGGTGGAGCAGCACCGGAAGAAACAGGCCGAGGAGGGCAAGAAAAAGAGCAAGGGGAAGGAGAAGGGGAAGGGGAAAGGGGAGGGTGTGGGGAAGGGGAAAGGGGTGAGTGAGAGAGGGGGAGGTGGGGATGCAGGGTGGCGGATGTGGGACAGGGAGAGGGATCTAGAGGTGAAGCCAAAGGCCATGAAGTGGACGGCAGATGGCATGGCTCAGGGCCTTTCCGGGCGGTTCTCGGGTGCACAATCGGGCAGCCGAAAGTTTTTGTAAAAGTTGTCAAGGCGATCAGGAGGCAATGCGCATGTGTTATGCATGGATGTGGGTTTGATGTTTGTGGATTCATCATGTTGAGGATCATATGTGAATGAAGCTAAGAATTGTTGGTATTCTCAGCGAGTTCTCATTGTGGAGAAGTTTTATAGCAGGGAAGAAAGCTGAACGTAGTTACAACTCTGGTAGGGTACCTTTTCTGGCCCAATCTTCCAGTGGCATGATACATGGTGCTAACTGTCCTGCTCCCCCCCAACTAAGTTGGAACTCGAGACATGCACTTTGCTGAAAAAATATTGCGGCAACTACACATTCTACGAGCACCCTTCACAGGGAAGCGGCGCCTGACACACTGGACGCGCAGTAGCAGAAACGCCACACTAGCACCGAATGCGGGTTATTAGGCTGGAGGCGCGGGCTGCGTAGGCTGTGAAGCTGGAGGGAGGGGGGGAGGGAGGGAGGTGGGGGCGGGAATGGCCGCATGTGGAAAGGTTAGGGGGAGCTCTGCACAAGCCTACGCAACGGCGGCGGAACGGGGGTATTGGCGAAAAGGAGTGGGAAAGGGGACACGCAAACGAGCGAATCAAGTAGTTCAGGTGAAGTGGGCGATGCAGGGCAGAAAGTGGAAACGAAACAGGGTAACGCGGCGAAAATGCACGACGTGCAATTCAGTGCGTCGGTTTCCCGTGCAAACTCACAAGGCAGCCACACTGCCGCACTTCGCGGCCTTCAGCGATCCGCCAGACTAGCTAGCGTAGGGGCAGAACACGAAATTTCCGGCCGTGGAGGCTCCCTTCCCGTGCTTCTTTGACTTCCGCTTTTTCGAGCCTCCTTTTTTGCCGGACTTCGCGCCGCCCTCGTCGCCGGTCGCCGCGCCGCTACTACTGCCGGCTAGGTTGCGAAGATCGCTGGCATCGTCGCCGAGGAAGTTTGCGACTTTGTCTTCGGCGTCGTCAAAACTGAGCTCGCCGTTTGCGATCGCCGACTCGACGGGGAACGCGGTGCCGCGCGCGGGCAGCAGGTGCAGCACGAGGGCCGCCGCGAGGAGCGCGAGGAGAGAGAAGCGTAGAGCGTTCATTCTTATATGTACGACTTGCGTGACAGATACTAATCAAACGAGGCGAAACAGGCGCTCAACCGGAAAAGCTAGATATAATCAAAGCGCGATCAGATAGAAGGTCGCGTTGGGTAATAGGCTTCGTACTATAAATCTGCCTTGAGACCGGATGGTCTTATGCTGTTAGCATTATGAGCAACCAAAGATGCCCGACGCATCTAACATTCCCCGTCGAGGCGCATCGCTGCTCTCGTATGCGTATTGTACTACCGCGCTGTTTGAGGGAGGTCGCATCAGCACGACTAGACTTGTCGTCACGTCACGTCAGGGACAAGACATGGCGCCTCGATTGCGGTGCTGCCAGCATGGCTCTGGTCTGGTGTAGCAACAACTCTATGCTAGCCTGTGCTCCAATAACTCCCCTCCCCTACAATCTCACACGACGTTGCGGGTCGGTGATGCTGACTCGGCGAAAGTCATGAATTAAATCGCGACAACGTAATCCAAAAATAAAAGTATCCACCCTGACAAAACTTGCTTTCGGGGGCATGTCGCATCAGGATTTTCGTGTCCCTTCAACGCAAGACCAAGGACGAGGAGGGTCCATGTTTACAACTGCACAAGTCGAGGGAACAAGGAAGCAAGATATGTCGCGAGTCGCGACATCTCAAACAAGCGCTGGAATGTGTTGCGGAACTACCATCACACGAAGAATCGAAGATCCCTTGCTCATCGTACGATAAGCTGAGTACAGTACGATGCGAGCCGTCAATTTTCCAGGCCGATACTGTATACGGAAAGATTGGGTTGAAGGTATCGAAGCGCGGTGAGAAATCAAGGGCGTTTGTGCTCCTCTGTACCCTTCTCGAGGACGAGTCAAGAGCAGACGAGAGTGCTTGTACAGAGACCCATGTCGCTGCGCCTCCGAACAGATTTGTTGCGACACCGTTATTGCAAATTAATCCATTACACTATCTGTTTGGATCTCCCTAAATGCTTCTTTATACATGCCCTTCCATCCACTCAGATCGTGGTGTGCCAAAAAATGGCAGTAATGTGGACGCTGCCGCCCAAACTCAACAAATATGCCAATTTCTAATCATTTTGGAAACTTCGCACAAGTTTCTACCAGTTCTAGTGGGTTGAAGAGATGGGTGAAGTAAATGCATACGGGCTGGAAGTGGTAGTACGATAGATGTGGAAGCATCAATGAACCAAATGTGGCAGTGGAAACATGGGAGGCATGTCAAACTATATTTGTATTTGTAGATAGGCTGTAGTGAGTTGCATGTTAGGGGGTATGAGAAGGCACACCGTCATTGCTTGGTAGAAGTCTAGTATATTATGGCCTCGCAGATGCTATTGCCATGGCAGTGGAAGCTTGCCCATCCCCGTTTTGATGGGAGCCGGCTTGTCTGCGCTTGGCTCGGTGGCAGGCAGGACCTTAGCCACCCATTCAGATCAGGAGGGATAGGCAGCATTGGCAGCCGAGGGGCAGCTACATGCAGCTGGGACGACAGTTGACAGTAGGGGCCTGCAGGTAGGTGACAGCAGGAGATGTAGGCAGGGTGCAGATGGATGGAGAGACAAGTGGGGTACAGATTATAAGGTTCCAGCAGACCTAATTCATCCACATCTGAACATGATACCGTACAGCTTTTACTAGGTTTTGTAGAGTTGTCACACACAGGGTAATAAGTGAGAAGTGCCACACATAAAGCCGCTCAGTAATTCTGAGGTCGTAATTGTGTCAATCTCCTGGACATCTGATCTCGCAAAGCCCGGTATATTGGAAAGGCACTACGGTATCTCCTAGCGTTGAGTTGAAAGCAACGTAACAGTTATATAGTGGCGCTACGCACCACATGCAGAGGAACCCAACCCAATGCCTGAGAAAGAGCAACCCAGCTAAGTGGATGCTATCATTGCCTCAGGAACAGATGTGGGACGGTGAAAATATTCATTGCAGAGGCACAGCATTGCGACAACCGAACTAGGTACATCTGATACAACCATCATCTAATGCAACGGCATCTAGGCATTCTAGTGCTAACCGATCCAGCAAATATTGCACAACTAACGCCCAAAGCCAACTCGCAGCGCGCCAAACCAGCACCTAAAACAAGGCAATATCGGTCTACGGGTTAGTAGGCTGGGCTCTAGATATTTCGAAAGTGCATTCCTCGAGGCCCGAGAGCCTAAAGCCCAGCGCGTGCGGCGACGGCGGTGCGGAGCTAGTAGCTCTTGCAACAGACGAAGACGCCGTTCTTCTGGCAGCAGCCGCCCTTCTTGCAGCACTTGTCGCCGCCGCAGCACGGGTACTCGGGGCTCTGCGCGCACACGCGGGTGTTGGGAGGGGAGAGAACGGGCGCAGGTGAAAAGGTTAGCACAAGCGCAGCGCATTGCGTATGGCCAGAGCGGCATGACGGACTCGGACTGGGTATGGGGATGGGGAGTGGGAAAGCAGGCATGTGGAACACGCCGACCGATTATTGAGTCATGCAGAAAACACTAGCAGGTAAAGAAACAAAGGCCGCGAGAGGCGTGAGATTCAGTGGGCTCGTTTTGGTGAGACTTACAATGCAGCACGCGCCGCCGCAGTACTCTTCCTTGGGCGACACGCCAGACTTGCCGGCATAGGGGCAGTAACCGGAGCCGTCGCCGTTAGCGTTGCGGCGCTTCTTGTGCTTGGGCTTGTACGCGCTTCCCGAGCCGGCCAGGATGCGACGGTCTGCAGCGTCGCTGGTGTCGTCAGTGTCGTCGAAGTCGTCGTGGGCGATCGCAGACTCGACGTCGGACGCGGCAGAGCGCGCCGGCAGCATGTGCAGCACGAGCGCCGCCGCGAGGAGCGCGAGGAGGGATAAGCGGAGAGTATTCATCTTGATGGATATGGCTGGCGCAATAAGACTCTAATTTGCAAAGTTGGGGGAAAACGGTGTGTTGATAGCGAAGGCGAAGCGTGGACGTTGTTGGATGGAGTTTATTGTTATGCTAGGTTGGTGGCTGCGGGATGAATCGACGCTGGCGGCAAGGCGTGCATTTGTACCTATTCTTCACGAGTCGAGGCGCAGAGCTGCGTAAGCACCGAGCCGGAGAGAGCACCGCCTGATCTGAGCTGAACGCGCTTGGCTTGACGGTGAAAAAGCGCCTCGATTGCGCGTGTCGCAAGCGTGGCTGTGGTGCCTGAGCGTATTCGTGCTGCGTGGTGCGTGCTGTGTGCTGCATGCTGCGTGCTGCCTTCCCTGCGGTGGTCTTGAAGGGGCGAGTCAAGGGCACAATATTGAGTGTGCTTATGTGGAGCGGAGAGAACCGCTAAATTCATCCTGCCGATCGCGGTCGCGGGATGCTGTCTTACGGGGTCTCAGAAACGTGTGCATGTGATGCGACGCGGTTTATTGCTGATAATGTATGAAATTCTACACTGACTGTCGAATGATGCCGTCTATGAGGGAACTGAAAGAATTCACTTTACTTCACCTTGTACAACAGTGTACACCGGGAGTCGGGCCCGATACCAGCCAACCTTGTTCAGTGCATTGTGCGCCTGGTTTTTGCGTGACTTAGCATCTGTCTCTTAAAATTTTTATTGCAATTCATGATCGCTCGTTCATGTGCACTTGCAATTACTGTAAGTACCGTAATCGTCCGCATAGTGTAAAATTCCCCATTTATAAATATGTTCCATTCGAGCCGAGGGGGAAGAGGGCGATGTTCACTTCACACCCATATATGGTAAAATACTACGTAATGGTATTTTAAGTCTGAAAAAGTACAGGTTCGGCGGTACTGGTCATGGGTTACCACTGGTTATGGTTATGGGTTACTGCTTCTGGAGCGCCTGCCCCGGTGGTCTTGCGTCTGGTCAGGTTGATACGCTGTGCTCGAGTCGCTATCTCACCAACCTGTTGCTCCTAACACCACCGTTTACGTCACCTTGCGCTCCGAAGTCTCGTCTACATAGCTAGGCACGGTCTTGTCTCATGTCTCCCGCTGTGGCTTCATCCGCTCCCTCCTTCGCTTGCTCTGCCGTACACTCCTTTTGTCGAGGGTTGGCAGCGCGCCGTCCCTCGTTCCTCCTCACATTTGCCAGCCACTGCGCCTCTCCAGACTT